AACAGGGAAATTACGCTTCACACGCTACAACAGCATGATTGAGCCATGGGTCCCTCGGGGCTGATGTTTGACAGTTCTGTAGATAAAGTTACCATTAGGGAGGCATGGCAAGGGGTTCGCTTCACACCAGAAACAGTCATCACATCGATGTCAAGTCATCAGGGTTTAGAATCCTGTCCAAAGTTCAGATCTGTACTTTAAGGGATGGTCAATTTGATGTTTTCAGAGGAAGCAGAAGTTCCTTGGATATTTTTGAAGATATCAGCAATTTGTTCCAGAAAGTATGGCCAAAAAATAATTTTCCTGAAGTATTATGAAAAATAGAATTGTCCTGAAAACATTTGTTGTGGTCAAAAAACAACTGTTTGTCCTCATCCTCCTTCTCCAGAAAAACAATGTCCGTCACAGCAATTTCCAGCCAAAATCCTAGACTCCCCACAGAAATATAAATGGCTGATCCAAAAGGTGTCTGTGACTGGTGGAGGCAAATACAATGGTATGCAGTTTGCATCTGTATAAATGTCATTGTCACAGGCCTGATGTAATATTTATGGTGATGAGTAAAACCGTTGTGTGAGTGTCAAATGAGATAGATTTCTGCCTTTGAAATATGGTTCAGCTTGATGACTTATTCAGTGATGTATATAATTAGGTCAAGGTTGATCAGCCAAGGTCAACCATGAGCCGGAGAGTTGATGCTGTGATGACATGATGGCGTATTGTTTAAATAAGTCAACTGAACTGTCAGGCAAATGAAAGTATACACCCATGTTTGATGATGGCCAAAAATGAAACAAACAAGATATTGTTATTCGATGGTGATGTATTAGAGACAAATATTTGGAAATTACCTTTTGAAAATATATGTGAACATAAAACACCACTTCCTGATTTCTTGAAATTTAGTTTAGGATTAAATCAAGCATTGTGTGATGTCATTGACAAGAAACAAATTACAGATTTCTGTGTGTTGTTCCAGTGCGACATACATCCTCAACTTGAACCATGCCTGTTTACACAGCAAATATCAAGGCTATATCTCTCCTTTTCACTTAGCGATGTTGTCCTTGGAACTAATTGTATTTACAAACTTTACAGGATATAAAACAAAAGAGAATAGATCTTTCGAAGGTTCTAAAGCTGCTACAAGAACATAGATGGAAAATCCCAAAGCCAACGTTATTGTTTATATGGTTTAATCCAAATATTTGAATGAAAGCACAAAGATGAATATTTTCTTAAAATGTATCGTTAGGAAACCAGCACTGCAGTCAATGTATGCACAGCATCAAAGGTAATGGTGTTTATTTAGCAAACATCTGATAGAAGACACAAATACAAAAACATTTAATAATATTCTGTTATGAAAACAGCTTACAGGGGCCTCAATTTGTCCCTGAAGATGAAAGGCAAAAGTCAATTACAAACAGTTTGTACTACATCACAGACGTTTTTTTTCAATTTCCACAAATTACAGAACATCCTAAATATACTTTCAGGCTGGTTTGAATGATATTCATCCAAATGATAAGTATCACATCATTTATTGATGGAAATACATTCCCAAGATCCTGTGCCAGCATCCATCAATACTGACTTGCCGAAGGAAATGTCGAAACGCATCACAATCAAACTAGGATCAAAGGCAGCCCCCCTCAAATTAATCAGCTGCGTTATCGACAGTTAAGTTGATATCGTTTTATTTTTGCCATCTCAATTTGAATGCCTTTGTCAAAAGCGGTTTGTTTTGTCTCGTAATAATCTCAGGACGGACTGTGAAGATGACTCGTTTATTCAAAGCCTGTCAATCACCAGGTCTTCAAAGCCTGTGGGAGGATGAGATGCTCTGTTTTCATTTAAAACATTGGGTTTCAAATCAGGGATGGGTGATCCGGTAATGGAAGATTAGGGTCTTGTTTTTCACCAATATTTGACAAAGATTGCTTTTATTTGATATTCTGGTGAATTATGGACATTTAAAGCAAACAGGGAAAACTTAACTTGATTTTGCAGAAAGAATTTGTAATTAACATTTTACCGTGATATTACTTCTATTTCTGGATGGCTTCCAATTGTGCATGTTTAACTCACTGTTAACGAGTAACTCAGTATCATAACAACCAGTTTTCTCACAGCCAAGACAAATTGACGGCTTCATTGTAAGACCCTCTTTTGTAGTTTTCGGTTCATGGATCAACTGAATCGAGATGACCAAAGCTGAATGTTTTATTTGCAAGCCTGCTCCATTTTGGGGTGGATTAGATGATAATTGTGTACAAAAATAGCTACCTGAAAAAAAGGGTAAAATATTTAAATGAAATCATGCTTGATTAGATTTGCAAAAAAGTTACTCAGTGCAAAAACTATTTCATGTTAAGTTACTCTGCAAACAAGTTCCTGGATATCATTAAACGCCACATACAAACACCACCATCCACAACAAGAGAATTTGTCAATGTATTTCAAATGGTGCTGATCTAGTGAGTGAATGTTCATCCCAATTCCAGTGAAGCCTGACATTAGGCGGAATCATTCCTCCTCCCCCTCATCAAGATGGTAAGTGAGGCGAGGTGAAATGATGTTTAATGTCCCGTTCAAGTTTGTGTGGGTCAATGCGTTCAAGTGCGTGCTTGTACTAGTCAGGACTTATTCCGATTTTATGGTTCTAGCCCACTGAGGTACTATGCTGAACACCCCATTCAGACATTTAGCCCCAAGCGCCAGGCAGGGTAGCAACAAGTACCATCTTTAAACATCTATTGGTTTTCTAATGTTTTTTAGATAAACGCTGTGAGGTCTGTAAGAGAAACTCCACTAAACAGTCCCCCCACACACAAGCAGATGCACAGACCTACATGCACACATGCATGCCCCCACACATGCATGCACAAGCACAAACACAGCATACATGCATACACAACATGTACACACATGCACACACACAAAAACACTCACCATAAATGCACACACAAGCATGCACATGCACACACATGACCCCCACATATGCACATGCACATGCACACACGTGACCCCCACATATGCACATGCACTTCCACTTGCACATGATACGCACACGCGACCACACACACACACAGCACACAGATTCTTGCATGTAAATATTCAGCCAGCCAGCAGTCAGTGGATACAATCATCTTTATTGTATTCCTGTTTCATTAGTGCACAGAGTCGCCACAATCAACTAATGATTGATAAAATTTATTGTCTTGTTGCTATTTTATCACCAAAGTAACATAAACTGTCGTGACAAACAGGAAAGTCGTCATTCATGTGACACACTTGCTTCTCCGTCTGAACCCAACTCAATCCTAAGACATCCCTATTAATCGATCGGGGACGTGTAGCGACCAGACATTGATTAGATCAATCAATCAGACCAGCACTACTCTCCAAATTAGTTGACTTTGGTCACACTTCTGTGTTATGAAACCTGAGATATTGTGAAGAGAAAGTGAGATGGGTTTAATGCCCTTTGAACAGTATTTCAGTTTTGGGAAAAATTGTTTTGCCGATTCTGCTGACCTCTTGGTCACAGCCAGCATGAGATTCGGGATTCATGTTAAAATCATATCAAGTTTCTGAAAAATTTAAAACAACTTGTGTTTTGAGTTTTTCAAAATATACTCCGTTAAAAGCTCACAACAGGAGCTTTTGTATTTATTTGTATCATTAAAATTTAGATAAAGTGACCGATTACCAGTAAGATCGAAAGAAGTTAAAGAACACCCCAATTTTTCATGTGACTTTCGTCATGTTGACCTAGGACCGCTTCCGTGGTCTAGTGGTAGAGCGTCCGCCCAGGGAGCGGAAGGTCCGGGGTTCGATCCCGGCCGCGTCATACCAAAAGACGTTAAAAGATGCTACTTGTTGTTACCCTGTCTGGCCCTCGGCATTAAGGGGCTAAAACAAGGAGTGGTCGGCTCGGAGTCAGTATACTGTGTCTGAGTGGGATATTCATGTTAAACTGCAGCATGGTATCTCAGTGAGCTAGCACTATAAATCGGCATCAGTCTGGACTAGTACAAGCAGCCACACAAACACACACACGTACATGCACGTCGCTATATAAGTGCAATAATCTTGGACGCGACGTTAAACCCCATTTCACCTCACCTCACCTCACCTCATGTTGACCTGTCTAAGACAGACTAACTATCAATCATATGAAACAACCAGGGGTATGGTGCTGACAGACCTAGAAATATAATCTGGGCGAACCAGGATTCGAACCCACAATCTGTAAATCTTAAGCCCTAAGTGACACAGTACACTAACACGGTTATACCTGGAGACAAATATAAACAATTTGAACACAAAATAGCACTGTTTACATCAAGGCCAGAAGATGTGTGTACCAATTTAACTTGTCTTGCTGATTTTCACATAAGTTTCTTACAATATTATCAATGCTGGAATACTGCAATTACAATATCACCTGTACATGTACTGTGCTTCTTCATTTCAGATGATATCACTGCAAGCATTATACTTCATCTAGAATTACACCTCAGCATTACAGATGATATCACTGCAAGCATTAAACTTCACCTAGAATTACACCTCAGCATTTCAGATGATATCACTGCAAGAATTATACTTCACCTAGAATTACACCTCAGCATTTCAGATGATATCACTGCAAGCATTATACTTCACCTAGAAATACACCTCAGCATTTCAGATGATATCACTGCAAGCATTATACTTCACCTAGAATTACACCTCAGCATTTCAGATGATATCACTGCAAGAATTATACTTCACCTAGAATTACACCTCAGCATTTCAGATGATATCACTGCAACTATACTTCAGAATTTCAGATGATATCACTGCAAGCATTATACTTCACCTAGAGTTACACGTCAGCATTTCAGATGATATCACTGCAACTATACTTCAGCATTTCAGATGATATGACTCCAACTGTTGACTTCAGCATTTGTGATGATGTCACTACAAGTATTTTACTTCTGTTTCAGGTATCAGTCGGACACAGCTGGTTGTGATATCCACATGTTCTGCCATTATCGGCACCTTCTTCCTGATAGCAGGCATCCTGCGAGTGAGGTAGGTAGCACCACATTAAACCAGATCCACTGTCAATCATATTACTTCTGTGGACCCCAAGGGGCCTCCCATAGGTTCATTCACTGGATGTAGATCAACTGAATTTTCACTTATCCCCTCCAATATTTTTTTGAAATCAGTCATGTAGGTGTCCTGCTTGATCTGGATTAAGAGGGGGTCGTCTCCAAAGCAAATAGTAAGTATTTAAAGGTTACCAAATTTGATGTTTTATTATGTACCATACATGGGCGTATACATTGATGTACATTCATTATTTCATTATTATTTTTTGCAAACTACATACAGTCAAATTCTTCATACATGTTCATTTATACATTCACATTTTAAGCACTGTATCAGCTGGTTCATCAGCTTTTCCCTCATAAGTGAAGCCTTTGCAACACAGATATCTGCCACTGTGTTCTCAGAAAGCGTACACCTATAGTTGTGCGTCTGCCATTCAGCAAGAGAGTGAGTGAGAGTCATATCACGGCGTGTCAGCTTAATGTGGGAGGAAAGCCCGAAGTGATGCAGGTCTCAGACATTTACCACTTCGGTGAAACCCACGAGCACGGGTATGGTGCTGACAAACCTAGAAACATAATTGGGGCGAAACGGGATTCGAACCAACAATCATAGGTTTCTGGCATGCCCAAGGGATGCAACTCCGCACAGCGAATTGCGGCGCCTTAGACGACTGGGCCACCCGTGCCCCCCCATTTCAGCAAGAGAATTAACTGTTTCACAACTCACTTCCTTTTAAAGTACATACCAGTTTGACATAAACTGATATGAGTGACATGACAAATACCATCGCTCACTAATTAATATGATACATCACTCACTTAAGCTGGTAAACTTACCCACTCTCATGGTGACATCGCTCATGAGATGGTCCCCCAGTTAAAACAACAGCTAAGTGGATTTAGCATCAAAGGATATCACACTGGTTTTACATTTTTAGCTAAAACCGTGGAGTGTTTTATCTAACTTATAAAATGTCTACATGCATGAAATACCAGAAAGAATGAAAAAGCAACAGGATGCTTAATAGTAAAACAATACTGCAGTCATAGTATAAAACAAGTTTGGTGACAGCGTGCAAGAAAAAGACCATGTGCAGCATGCAGAAAACTGAAGTCATGACATGTAAGATTGAACACCCTTTCATCACCTGCCCCAGTGGCTCTGTGGGAAAATAGTGGATTACATCATGGAATTCATGTCATGGAATTTCCTTGTGAATTTTTTTTTTTACTTTTAACCAGTAAAATTCAGCATAACATGCATATTATAAGGCAGTTGATACACTTCAGCTGCAAAACCTAGGTCTTACAATTCAAAGGTAACACCTCCAAGCAGGTTTACAATCCAAATGAAAAACCTTTCAGCAGGTCTCACTTGAAAGTAGTACCTCTCACGAGGTTACAATGAGATTGCAAGATACATACAATACTATAGACAAAAGTGGCAGTCGATTGATATGTGCCGTGTCCTGTGTTTGTTGTGTAAGTGACAACTGACTAGCTGGGTGGTCACACTCAGTGACTTGGTTGGCTGCTTGTCAATTAACCCATGGGCTGTTGCTCATAATACTTCAATTCTTTACAGGCTGCTGTGAATATTGGAATGTTGCCGACTGTGACTTAACAACAAACTAACCATAGAGTTGTTGCAGTCATGGTTATTGGTTTGGACCAGCTCTTTCAATGGTATTAACATCTGTTACAGTAATGTAATAATCAAAATGCCAGGTGAGAGAGTTTTCACCCCTTCAGCAATATTCCAGGAAATCACAGCAGGACAGCAAGAGTAACTATAGGAATAGACTTTAGATCTTGGGGAATCAAACCCTGGTCTTCGGCATGGGGATACTTGATCCACTCTGCTACCTCCCAGTCCCTTAAACACACTGGCATCATAGGGCTAGGGTAATTTTTAAAGGATATGTTTTCGGTCACTGTTTCAAAACATGCAATTATTTTCTTTGAATAGAGGAACAGCCATCATGTCCAGAGAACAATTTCTCTTTTTACTATAACCTGGGGACATTTTATTTTCTTTTTTTCCTTCTGGATCAGATAATTTTGAAAAGTATCAAGTTGTTTTTTGGATGAAACAGTTCGTACTTGAGTGATGCCCAAACAAACAAAGCCATCTCATCATGATTCTCTTCAACTTCCTGGGTCAGCCATCTTGAAATTTCTATCACATACCACCGTGCTTTTGAAGTTTTTGAAGAAACAAATCGCCATCTGCAGCCCTTGTTAACAAGGAGGTTGAACTGCAGTGATCGCATCTTGACATGACCTAAAGTTTAGTTTTTATCACTGGTGATTATTTTCTTGAGATAAGCAAATATGTTTTGCCGATGCATCTACCCTGAAAGTCTTGGTACAGGTATCAGATACAGGATTCATGTGAAATTTGGATCATAACTTGTTTTTCGAGTTTTTTCAAATACAAATTTGTTAAAATCTTCTGACAGGATTTAAAAAAATATTTTTGGGTATCTTTTACAATTTTATTAAAGTGCCTGATTAAGATATTTTGAAGAAATCATGTCCACTGTTCAGCTTGTCCGAATTACACAGCTGTTCAATATACACTTTTCAGAAGAACACCTGATTCTTTCAGATTAAACAGTTAATCTGCCTAGTATGAAAGAATTGGTGTCTTTTTAGTTGTATATCATATGTTTTTTGTTGGATTTGGCATGTTTCTTTTCTGTCATCAATACTTATTTGAAGTGACAAACTAAGATACATAAAACTAAGCATGACATCTGGTCAGCGTTGAGGTATTTTGCTTTTTCTAAATACTGGGTACTTAGTATTTACAGTACCATATCTTTCTGCTGATGTTTCAGAGTCCATATGAGACTAATTTATGAAGCTGATGTTTGTGACACCTCAAGTGGAAATAAGTTCATAATAAATACTATCTGTATCAAATGAGGTTTATAAGTAGAGATTTTTTTCTCATATTTTCCTTATTTCAAATATCATGTGTTAGGAATAAATATTGTATTATGAGAGCCTTTGGCGATCATAATACATCTCTTATTTCTGACATATGATATTTACGAGATGGAGACCCATGAGGAAAATAATCTCTTTATCATATAATATCATTCCAATAGTTTATGTTTAAGACTTATTTTCACTCAAAGAATTAACTTTAGAAACCGTGTATGAATCCAATGTTTGATTGAACCGTCCCGTTAATTATGTAGTGCCAAACTATTTGCAGCAATGCTTGTCTTAATTCAGAATCCCCCCACATCAGGAAACCCCTACCTTAACATAATGGGAACAGTAACAACAACATTAAGCAGACATTGAATTGATGTATGGGGCTAAAAAGTAGTTCCTGCTCAGTGACCTCATTTGCATATTTATTGGATCATGATGCCAAATTTATCGCATCAATAACATTACCGGTATCCAGTATATGGTAAAGATTTTTTCCACATACCAGGAACTACTACAAGCAGAGATCCATTATCTATTACATGATAAAGAGTTTGTCCACATTCCAGGAACTACTGCAAGCATGGATAACATTATCCATTACATGATAAATATAGAATACTAAACGAACTCCTGTGTAATACCAATTTTATGAAACGAGTGAATAGTTCTGGTATCTGACGAGCGAACGCTCATCAGATACCACAACTATTCACGAGTCTCATAAAATTGGTTTTACATGGGAGCAAGTTTAGTATTATATTTATTACTTGCCATTTATAAAGTTTTGAGAATTATACGGTTGAGTGTGAATCGGCCGACACCTTCATGATCCACAGCATTATCCAATCGAGTTTAACAGAATAATACTTCAAACCCATCAAAAGTTGAAACGAATGAATTTAATACCATACAACGGTTCACCATTAGAATTCAGGCGTCCGTTCCACAAAATTATTGTAGGGCTAAGGTTATCGCAAGTCACATACTTTGACTGAGACTAACGACTGTCCTTGCGCTACAATAGGATTGCCTTGTGGAACGGGGCCTTGCACCTCAAAGTTAACAATCACGTCACAATACGTCAAGTAATTTGTGGAATTTTGTTGCAAGTTCGAAACATTGCCATATGACGTCAGCCTAGCAACAAGGTTGCTGGGGACATCGAGCGTGCATAAGCTCCTCTCAGCGATCTATCATCTCCACAAGCAATGTCATTGAATAAGCCAAGGGATGTTGAGAGCTTTCAATATTTGTTCGTGTAACATGTTTCGAGAGTACATAAGCACACGTTTTGGTATTACACAATGTGTAATACAGCTGTATGTTTATTAAACAATTGATCTCTTCACGGGCACGTAATAAAGAGCTTGTCCACATTTCAGGAACTACTACAAGCGTTACCGCCAGCAGCAGAGACAGGCAAGTCGACCCACATTCCGTAGCTGTAGTGTAGCGTTGCGTAACTCCACCCCTTCCAACGAGCAGATCCACAGGGACTCTCTCCTCAGTAAATCCAGCTCAGTCCAGGTGGGTCAACCTCAGTAGTGCTAGTGATGGTCATCGATGTCACCCCAGCCTGGGATACCCTGGTCACGTGAGTGTGGGAGTGTGTTGGGTTTAACACTCAGGCCTGAACAGTATTTCAGTTCTTACGGCTTATCAGCTTCAATATTGGCAGTATGGCCAAAGACTGCACAAGTCCGGACATTAACCACTTTGGTGAGTGTGTTGGGTGTAACACTGCCCTGAACAAAACTTCAGTTATCATGGCATGGCATCTTGACCAATAATAGTCATCATGTCAGCATGAATAGTGTTAAGCACTACCCTGAACAGTATTTTAGTCATCATGTCAGCTTGAATAGTGTTAAGCACTGCCCTGAACAGTATTTTAGTCATCAAGTCAGCTTGAATAGTGTTAAACACTGCCCTGAACAATATTTTAGTCATCATGTCAGCATGAATAGTGTTAAGCACTGCCCTGAACAGTATTTTAGTCATCATGTCAGCTTGAATAGTGTTAAACTCTGCCCTGAACAATATTTTAGTCATCATGTCAGCTTGAATAGTGTTAAACACTGCCTTGAACAGTATTTAGTCATCATGTCAGCTTGAATAGTGTTAAACACTGCCCTGAACAATATTTTAGTTATCATGTCAGCTTGAATAGTGTTAAACACTGCCCTGAACAATATTTCATTTGTTTGGCATGTCAGCTTGAATAGTGTTAAACTCTGCCCTGAACAATATTATATTTGTTTAGCATGTTAGCTTGAATTATGGCAAAAAGGCCAAAGAGTGCTGAAGTACAGATATTAACCACTTTGGTGAGTGAGTTGGGGATAACACTGCAGTTTGAACAGTTTTCAGTTGCACATGTCTAAGATCTCAACCAGGTTGTTGAAACCCATGCACATGAACATGGTTCTTACAGAGTAAGGATAATAATATTTATTTGGAATTGAATGTCCAAATGACAGTGAAGTCTTTTGCCTCAAGACATTGCCAGATGAATTGGAATACATCTTTTACCGCTGCTTGTTTCAATCATGAAAGAACGGTGTAATTTGATTGGATGGCTTTCTTGGAATTGGCTCATTCCATCCTGATTAAGATGGCGTAGTGGGTATTGGGGCCAGGGTATTTTCAAATTAGAAACATAATCATGGATGATTCTAGCCAGAATCCCAAAAGGACAGTCTTGCAACCTTGACCCTTTTTTCTTTGTTTTCACAGAGCAACTTCACAGGCAGAGGCACAGGTACCCAGTATCCTGCCAGCCAGTCTTCTCGCGATAATTCCAGGAATAATTCTCCAAAAGCTTATGCTGATAAAACTCCTTTGCTGGTGGTGACGTCTCCGTCAGACACAACCAACGCCTCCACACCAACCGTATCCCAAGCATCATTGCAGTGTCCAGAAGACGACCCTTCAAGGAGAAAGGTACAGGTCACATGACCCCCCGATCATCAGCAATGTCGTAGATGTAGTAGATGTAGTTGTTAATGACTGTTGTCGTTGATTGAAGCACATATTTTTTATGTTGTCATTGAAACTAATGTGTGAACATATGGGTATGACCACAAATATTTCATTGTTAATTTAAGTTTCTCTATGAGAATACAGACAATGTGCTGTCTTAAATAATCTCTAATTACTTTAGTAAGGGCTAAGTTAGGCAAGTTGTCTAAGGTTGAGTTACTGGTCCTGATGAATATTTCCTGGCAATTGTGCGGTGAACTTTGTCTGACATCTTCAAGAAGGGATGAAATTTGTAAGGTAGAATCTTGATATCTTGGTAACTAAGATAGCTAGAGCCACTATATTGGTGTCTAAATATAGTTGTTTTTCTCAAAGGAAGTTAAAAACCTGTGTGTAGTGACAGTTGTTATTCCGACAATCAGTTTTATTCCAGCCTGTCACAGCAACATGTAAATAATTAATTCTGTCCAAAGCAAGTTGTGAAGATCCGGGTTAGATTAGGTCTTCAGCAACCCATGCTTGCTGTAAAAGGCTAGGTGACTTGGTTGAAGCATGTCATCAGTCCAAATTGTGTGGATCAAAAAGGCGACTGTGCTTGTCGTAAGAGGTGACTAATGGTCAGGTGACAGGTGGTCAGGCTTGCTGACTTGGTTGATACATGTCATTGTATCCAAATTACGTGGATCAATGCTCATGATATCAATCACTGGATTGTCTGGTCCAGACTCGATTATTTACAGACCGCTGAGTGCGGCGTAAAACAACTAACAAACAAACAAACCAAGTTAGTGACTAAAGCATCAGCAACATCCCATGTTGCCATGGTAATGTGACATGCAATCACTCATGTCACAAAGCGTGACCACCCAATCCCCATTTCAGTTGACTCTTAGGACAAGGATGATGTACTGCATACCTGTTTTGACTATAATCCCCATAGGGTCATTTGTCTAGTGAATCAGTGTGACTGTCAGATGGTCCTAGCCCCGACCATACTCCCACTGGCTAACAAAGACTTTGGACAGTAGCGCTGAGATTGTTTTTTTGAAACAGGCCTCTTGTACTGTTATTTCAGCTTCCATTGTGACCAGTCAATCCCATTTTTAGTTGGCCGTAACCTGGGACACTGATGAGGTATTCTGACAGTGCTCACAGAACTTATGCCCAGACATCAACAAATTTAGTTTTTGAAAACTTCAGCTGTTCACTTCCTTATGATAACTCTAAGGGAAAGTTTGAAATTGTTTGCCTTAAGGAACTGCATCAGTAAGAGACCATCCTGACAATCGTCAGATATTAATCTCTGATTTTCATATTGATAACTCGATTTCTATCCCCCATTACACAGTCTGCAACATAGGCAGCTCATGTTGCCGCAATCTCCTGCAAGCCAGATGAGGGTCAGGTATACACCTTAAGCCCCATACTAGACAGGCACAAGTTGAATTAGGAAGTCTAAGGTCACAGCTGAGCCGCGAGACATATGATTCAAGTAGAATAGGATTACAAGTGACAGAAATGCGTCTGGACTGAACGTCTTGCGGGAATTTCATTGATGGGACATTTCTAGAGATTTTACGAGAGCTTCTCAATGACCGTTTTGACATTTATTACTTTGCTGTATTACAAAGGGATACAGAACTTCAGACATTTTATCCGCATGGGTAAAACAATTTACGGAACAACAGTGATGAGTAGCTATTACCATGTTTTTGTTAGGGTTCCCTTTGAAGGTAGTTTTATGACCAGGTTAATTGTGAAATAAATTCACCTGAAGCTCCAAAATGTCATTGAGGGTATGTTAGCCTTTAGCCATTAGTATTCATAGAAGAAAAAAATACCGGTATTGTTATTAAAGGTTGGCTGCTTTGTATTCCTGAACAGGTTTTGTAAATTAAAAAAACATAAATTCAAACTGAAAATCTATTATTAACATTAAAAAATAAGAAATAGTGTATTCTTTAAAAATATTTAAGAAATGATTTGATCTTTGAAATTTAAAAAACTCACGATAATCATTTACAGAAATTGAAGAAAGATTATGATACTGGAATATTGGTTTCAATGACAATGAGGGTTATAGTCGTGTAGTTGTCTGTAGTTGTATATTTTTATAACTTGTAATATTGTCTGACATGTTTGAATATAAATATTAATACGGAGATAGATGGTGGAGACTGGAGATACAATTTCACGTTTTAAGATGTGCCTAGATTCATTCCTTAAATTCAATGTTTTAGGATTAACGCTAAAATACGATCATATTTTATCATTAGAACGGAAGGGAAAATGGATTCTGCACATTATTTATTATTCGAATCAGTTCACAGATATATTTATGCGTTTATCATTGGAATCGATTTATGTCCATTTTTCTTGCAATAAATTCCAGGTAACATCCATGTCAACCCGTTTTAGGGCGTGGTTTTGTCATTTTACGAAAATATTGTCTAAATTGGTTCATTGCGATTGACAATTTTATCAAGTGTGCTGCATAAATAGTTGACATGGGTGTTGACATTCGATGCCCTGGAAGTAGCACTCTGAACTTTATAGTCATTGGGCTGTACAAAACGGATAGAAGACCTAAAGTATCACATGGCCCAGGAACATCACACAGAACCCGGCGCAGTGGTTACAACGCTGCCACAGGCTAATTTGCATATCACGTGACCGGACTTTTCACTTGTTTGTATACAAATGCGACTTTTCAGACATCAGAATAGAAGGGACTAATGCAAGTATTTAGGGGGGGGGGGGGGGGGGGGGGGGGGGGGCTTTGCATATTGTTTTGCATAATTATGTAAATATGCCACTGCCACTGCGACAGCAAGTTGCGTGACAATACATATTTACACATCAAAGTGACCGTATGGCTAGCTCTCCGTGGGGCTTCGATGACAGCACGTGGAGCCGTACAACCAATGTAAAGATAAGATAACTACGCAAATGGAAATAGTTTTTCACGATTTAGGATATTTTCTCAATGAAAGTTAACCATTCTATGCCATATGTTAATCTAGATATGTATCATACAGTATCTTGAATCGACTATGTAAGATGTCACGAATCGTCACATGGCGCTTGCCTGAAACAGGTACTGTGCTGGTCGCATTGAACTCTGGGTCGCATTGAACTCTGGGTAGGAGAGTGGACCATCACAATGTAACTCCATCAAAACAGACAATTTATTCGATTAAATATTCTACTGGCCCGTGTTTTGTTTTACAAACATAACGCCGAAGGCTTTTGTCAAAAACAGCCTTGATGACCGCCTTGAGTTGTCTGTGGACAATGAGAACTATTTGCCAGAACTTATCTTCACTTCAAGCATTAATACATTTTACATAACTCGTGATCCTTTCTATTTGATCCTTTCTACACTGATTTGCATCATATGATAAGGCAATCTACAGGCGGAAAATACAGTGCTAATATAAACCTTCAGTGAGTACATATTGGTGGTATTTAAGACGTTCATCAAACTGGGATCAATGTCGTATGGGGATATTTACAAAAACATACATATAAGTTTAGGATATATAAGAAAATAAAGACGAGGCGGTGCCTAACCTTTTTCCTTTTTGTCATGAGTGGCCGGTGGCATTATTCCACGGAACATGAAATGGTATCGGGAAGGAGGAGATGGCAACGTTGCTGCTAACCTTCTAGGGCCTCAAAGGCAGCTTTTCATAGTATATTAAAGGATTGACTGTGTATTTTTTCGGTTCATTGAGGTATGAATAGAAAAAACCGATGTGCAAACTGTATGAATCCGCGTAGCGGATTCTTATAAAGTTTTGCACATCGGTTTTTCGATGAATATGCATGAAAGTCGTTAAATGTCCTGTGCATGACGATACACGTGAGCAGAAAGGGAATTCCCTCGGCTGTTATATTGGGATTCCCCGACATTTCACAGTAATAAAAGTAGTGCCCCTCGGTGGGCGTGGCTTAATTTTTTACATTCATTGGGAAATGAATGCAAAAACACGCGACCAATTTAGCTAATCAGAATGCAGAAATTTCAATGAACACAACGAAAATTTAATTATTCCCCAGAGAGCTGATGAAATAGAGTTCACACTGATCCATTGACTGGGGTAGTAATGAGCTTTGTACATGATATTCAGCTTGGAAAAAGCGCCATACAAATGGAACATTAAAATAAAATAAACTGAAGTGCGAAATCGGGGACTCCGGAAGCGCTAGTATAAAATCCTCCAACATTATCATCAATTCAGGCCAGCATCTTTGGTGACGATTTTCGTATTTCTGCACCCATGTTGACTTGCTTGATAAGTGTTTATAAACTTGACATCTGTTTATTTGTTTATTATCTTATTGACAGGTTTTGATATGCAACAAGAGACGGAGACCTTGATATTCTTTCAGCTTTAGAACCCATCTTGAAATGTATTTTCAGTTAAGTCACATCTACAGTTTTGTTCGGTTTCTGCACCACATTTTATTTGTTGAGTTGAGTTTGATGTTTTAAATGAGTGTTTTCACAGGATTTGTATCCCGTTTATTGTATCAACAAATTGTTACCAAACTATTTATGCTCAGGGACACAAATTTCAAAAATCGGAAAGAGTTAGTGTTTAATGTGCGGAATGAAATCAAAACGACCAGATGCCAGAAATATCATACAGTTAAAAGTAAACAATCCCAAAATATATAGCCGAAATCGCAAAACCACCATGGCCATTCTCTGAGAAACCTGCTGAAACATTTGCAAAACAAAATAATGTCTTTGTCAACTATCATAATAACAATCAATTTCATTTTCAAACTTTGAAAAAATAGATAGTTAATTGAGGATTCACCTTTGAAAACACTCTTAAGAATCTTGCAATTTCATTTTGCAGTGTTGTACATTGTGTCGTAAAACTCTAAGAAAATGTTGGTACATGTACTGTTTTGTCATATATGGATTGTAATACTTAAACGTCCGTTTACATTATGTGTTTATTGTCTTATATCAGTTATAAAAGTGCAAAATCTAAAATTAAAACTTTGAATTGTATGTTGTGTTTAACAGGTTAAATTAATATTTTATTAATCTGATAACTCTAACAAAATGACCCTGCTTTATAATTTGTTATGATGCATATTTCAGAATGCCAAACCACCCATTACCAACGAAGACGACAAGGAAAATAGTCCCCTATTGGTGAACAGTGACGACAATCATATAGACATTGGACAAATATCCGATGAAGGGTATATTGAAACAATACTCAATAACAAAGGCCCGTTAGATAAACAAACACCAATGGTAAATGGTGACAGTGAAAACGTCAAGGACTTCTCTGTAAAAGATTCTTGTCCAAAGGTTAAAGAAGTAAATAATGTACCCATCACTGAAATAGAGAAAACCCGAGACGGCCTAGTCAACAACGCCCCTAAGTCTTCAACTGCCGATGGACAGACGAGACCTGTCCAATCACCCGAACTTTCTCCCGGAACCAATGAAGCGACCATGCTTATCCCATTAGATTCAACCACTAATGAAAATGCTGGATTTGAGGCATCCAACTTTGGATTGACCCAATCAGATTCCAGCTTGTCATCAACCAATCCGGCATACGCTTATGGAAACCAAACGGAGTATTCCAATGGCCTCAGCCATTTTGAGGAAATTATGATACACGGCCAGGTTTTCAATGATACCCCATCCCACAGAAATCCCCGACTGAATCCTCTTCCCATGCCATCCCTTCGCAGTTTTTCCGAAAACTCCTTTGATTACGGAAGTGGTACGAACACTGGCAGAATAGCTGCATCAACGGGAGCCCAAGCGGGCTCATCAAGGGGAGATCACTCTATGATGAGAAGCATGTCGCTTGTGGACTCCTCACCCAAGGGAAGGAGGGACAGACGGCTTATGAAAACAAATTCCGTCGTTGGAGAGGTTGCATCGGATCTTCCAGTCCTCGGACAAATAAGTGACCCCAAACCTTCAGAACAATCGGAAAATTGTGTTTCTCCTGCTCAACAGAATATGTCGGCTCAAGCGAAGCGTGAGCTATTTGGTTGTGGACAAGACACAAATATTCAATCGAGTGGTGAATTGTCTCGAGAAACATCTACCGAGGTCACTCCGCCTACCATCACCAAACTCTTGACGTCATGTGAAGAAGAGAAAACAACGTTTTTGTGACATTATTTTTCTATTCTTCGTCATTGTTACTGTTTTCATGGTTTTAGAGAATGTCGTGCTGAGGATGAGAGGTGCTCGTGGGAATTCTGTCTCAAGGGTGAACCGTTGGTTGCTGTGTTTCTAGTCTTGCAGAGAAATGTTATTTGATATTTCAGTGTGAATCAGGATTGTGGGATTAACATCACTTATCATCCGTGTAGGTAGTGACAGAAAATGAAATACAGCCCTAACGTTAGTAGGGGCTCGGGTGACCAAGTCGTCTGTGCAGAGTTGCGTCTCTAAGCCGTGACAAACACACATGATCGTGGCTTCGAATGCCAGATTCATCCCGATTGTGTTTCTCGGTTTGTCAGTATTGTGCTCGTGGGTTTCAAGAGGTAAACATCGCAGACCCTCATCATCTAATTGTTTCTTCTCACTCAACCTGACACGCCGTAATTTTACTGAAATAATGTTCAAGGCGGCATAAAACCCAACTCACTCATTCACTCCACACAGCAGATTCCAATCCTCTAAAAGTTGTATATTTTACATGGGTGTTTCGAATATGTAAAGAACTGATTTCGGGGGATCCATCTTCTTTGTGGCCTCGTTGACATTGGAGATTGTGAATATTGCTTTACACCACACTCAACGATATCCTTCCACGGCTTGTAAACGATCAATTCGGGGCCAGATAAACCAGTGTTCGACAGCATGGGAGACTGGAACAAGCTACAGATTCCCAGTCAGCAAGGTGACACATAATCACAACCCAATACTCGTGTGTGGGCTCTTGTGGCAAGCACGAGGAATTTGGGAGGTTGTCTGCACAGAAGGGGTGGGTTTTGTTTTCGTTTGTTTTTCTGGGGTTTCTTTTGGTGGGCGGGGAGGCAAAACAGCAAAATTATAACGTTGATCCTTCTTCTTGGCAGATATGAATAGAACTCAGACAAATGACATTTGTTTCTCCCCGATGGGTGAGTGATTGGTTTGGTTGGTTTTAACGCTGCATTGGGGAGTATTTCATTTATATCCCGACATGTCAGTTCCATGAATGACCTTAGGTTTACCGCTTTGAAACCAGAGCATGAGTAGGGTGCTGACAAATCGATGGCAATGGGGCGACTCACCAAAGCACTATTCATACTTGCAACAACTTGACCCCAGTTTCAATTTCTTTTAGAGGTGATTAATTTTCCTTACGTCCACAATGGAACTGGGTAAAAGAGAGTCTGTTTTAGAGGCCGTGAATAGCTGTAATATTGCTGAGACGGCGTAATGCAATATTCACTAAGTGTTTTAGTGTGTGCAGCGTGTCTTGATTTAAAAAGTTGTTACTATACGTAACTGTAAGCATACGTGACTTCGTAGCACCATGACAAAGGTTAAAACAAACTGGCTCCCAAACTGTCAACATTCGTATCTGCAACGCAATCCTGCAGGTCATGTGACCAGATCGGCGCACATCACGTGACCAGGGTGACAAATTCCTTATTTCCCATGTTTAAAGAAGAACGCCTCATGTTTTGCCTTTCTTGGAAAGTTTCAGATCAGGCCGAAAAGAGGACAGATAGCGCGTGTTGTGAATGAAAGACAAATATGGTGAAAATTGTTTGGCGTATTTCCTCTAATAGGCGCTTCCGTCATTGATTGGAGACCTGATGCCTGCAAGCGCCCCGTTCCACGAAGCGACCTGTATTGGAGTAAAGGTTATCTTAGCACTAAAATCGCTTTGTGGAGCGGGACCCCACCTCTTTCCTCACGGTACAATAGGGACTAGTTATATGGTTTGTGAATGGGGAGCATTCCTTTATTGTTTTAGTCGACCCGGTCTCCATTTCGACGTCCTTTGTATATTAGAAGAAATACGAAGCCAAAAATGAAAGTTTGTTTATATCTTGTTTGTGGCTTTGTGATATTTTGTTTTTTACTTAGATGTGCAGAAACTACCTACAGTCATCTGTGGGTATCAGCTCCAAATGTAGTATATACATTGAGCCTTCTCGTCAACATACCTCATGTTGAGGTGTCTTGTCAATTTCTCTGGTCTCTTGATTATTTCGTCATTGTGTCACTTGAAGTTTTAGGAAAAAAGAAATGAATATTCCAAGAATACATGATTGTCATGTTTTGTCTGTTGACAGATCCACGTCAATGACATGACTTGTTTTACCTTTTGTTTAAAACGTACTTTAATGGCCGACCAATATGTTTCCTGGGTAGTCATAAAGTAACAATTTGGCTACACTTTTCGAATTAAAATGTCAATTTGCAGATTAACGAAACCGCAAAACCGAAAAAAGGCATGCGTCAAACTATTTACATAACGGCCCATAATGAATAGGTCTTCAGCAACCCATGCTTGCCGTAAAAGGCGACTATGCTTGCCGTAAGAGGCGACTAACGGGATCGGGGTGATCAGACTCGCTAACTTGGTTGATGCATGTCATCTTATCCCAATTGCGTGGATCGATGCTCATGATATCAATCACTGGATTGTCTGGTCCAGACTACAATGTTTACATACCGCCGTCATATAGCTGGAATATTGCTGAGTGCGGCGTAAAACAAACAAACAAACAAACAAATCTAAAGCGCAACAATTCGCTGTGCAGAGTTGCGTCCCGAAGGCATGCCAGAAATCTGTGATTGGTTTCACGAAAGTGATAAACGTCTATGACCTGTCTTACTTCGGGCATTCTCATTTTAAGCTGAAACGCGGTTATGTAACTGTTCTAAGTGGCGTTAAGAACTTAATAAAATCAAACAACCTTTCCCTAGTTACCCTGTGGGTCTTCAGATTGTCTAGCTATTCGGTCATAACGGATTGTTTAGTGTGTTTTAAATCAATTACGTTCTTTGGGTGTTGGCTGTTTCATTTGATAGTACAAGGAAGATACCATTGATAATTAGACGAATAAGAGTGCCATGAGTAAAGTAATAAAGAATATTGACCAACTATTTATTTTATCAGGTGCGGGGGTGGGTCTGAGACAATGGGTACAATGTGTGAAGCCCATTCAATGTGTCCCCCGTCGTGATATTGCTGGAATATTGCTGAAGGCGCCTCAAAACAATATTCGCTTAGCTAATTTTCCCTGTAATCGGATTCCCAAAACGCAGATTAATATCATCTATGTTACGGTCATGCTCAGTAATGTCAGTCGGCACAATAAAGCTAAATTGGGTCAAACACATACCCTCGTCGTCGAACATTCTGTGTGACTGCTTTCTGTCGGAACGATACTTCAAACGGCATGTGGTTCTTATCACGTGACCTTACGTGCACGTGCTAAAGGTGCAGAAATATTGTGGTTCAGGAGCTTCTCGACTTTTCGCCGTGTTTCGAATGCAGACAGCTGTTATTGACAAATGATGAATATTTACCGTTCATGAGAAGGATGAAACGCGACCACTCCCAGACTTCTAACAAGGACCTCGCGTCCTCCACATAATTATTTTCTCCAGTAAGGAAGAGAGCCCCCCACCCCAATACCAAATGGCCAGATCCTAAACAAACGGAATCTCAATTGCAAGAACACGGTGGTTGGACGCCGGTAACTGATAAACTGCAATCTTTAAATGACATTTGGTTGGCTAACGAAGCAATGATTTTGCGTAGATGTTTCCAAAAGACTGAACAAAATTAGGCTGCCGCGCCTACGACCGGACAACTGTTTCATGATTCACGAGTAGGCGGGGTTTAAATTGCATTATTGCGCTGATCGATGTCACTGATTTCGTATCGTGGTCTACAGTATTTAATGTTTATGTAAATAAGCAGTCTGTGAAGTTATTACTGTTAAGTTATTTGCTCATAGGAACTCACTTAAATATTATTTTGCGTTTATGGGAGTATAGACGTAAAAAACGGTTTGCACACTTTGTGTCGCGAAGTAACACAGTGTGCACGCCGGTCAATTATGACCATGTCTAGGCATAGGAGCAGATGTGAGCTGTGTGTGAGACTGCAACGTATAAAAAACAAGGCACTTAATGCCACCACCCCGACAATTATATTGACATTGAAACACGCCAAATTCAAGTGAACTTACGCTTGTTTTTTGGTTTCGAACAAATACGAAACTCGTCCTTTTCTTCAGTAAATGTGTTGCTTCGGTCCATGAAGATTTCTATACCCCTAACCGATTTGAAAGGTTGCGCGTCACAGTAAATCACTACACATTTTAGAATATGTAAGTAAATTAGAGAAATATGCACGTTGATCACTTAAGTTTCACAAGAAACACAAGAAACATTTTGTTCTGATAGTGAGAGTTGTTTTTAAACTGTAGTTACAGCGTTGTGTCACTTTCAGACATATGTCGGAGGTTGCAGTAGCCAGGAACTGAGATGTGTAAATATTCATTAATCTAGTTTTGTCATGTCACGTTGGTATCGCAGAGAAGTCTCAATTTGCTTTGTTATTATATCATTGAATAAACTTTCACACTCCTGTTTGTCTGTTGATTCTATGTATTCTTTGATATTGATGTTGATATGTGGTTTGTTTCTTTGTCACTTCTTTACTGGATCAACCAAACCAGTGATTGATGTTATGAGCACAAGCCCACGCTGTCCTTGTACGATGTTTGCTTTTTGTTTAACACCACATTTAGCAATATTACAGCTATAAGGCGGCAGTATGTACTTTATCGAGTTTGGACCAGGCAATGCAGTGATTGACATCATTAGCATCGAATCTACGCATTTGGGATACGGTGACATGCATCAACCAAGTCATCGAGTCTGACCTCCGGATCCCGTAAGTCGCCTCTTACGACAAGCATAACCTGGACCTTCTATGGAGGGGTGTGTGGACGATGTGTTCTCATTTAAATCTGATCTTAGCGCTACGACTATTGTAAGCCTATGTTAAAGTATGGGAGTTACGATCATCTAAGCGCTAAGACCACTTTGTGCAAGTGGGCCCAGCAAAGGTTCGGTGACACCTATTCTAACCCGGAATCCCCACGGGGTAACATCTAGGTTGGGGGATTAACGTAAACAGCATAACCAAAATAACAGAAGTACCATGCAGATTAACCAATGGTGATAATCTTGCATTTTAATGTCATCACATAATTATGACATAATTTTGAGTGAGCGAGAAGATGTTAAACGCTGCAGTTAGCCATAGATGTTTCTTGGGTTTTCAGCACCATACTCGTGCTCGTGGGTTTCACCGAAGTGGTAAATGTCTGAGACCTGCATCACTTCGAGCTTTCCTCCCACATCAAGCTAACACGCCGTGATATAACTGGAATACTATTAAAAGCGGCGTTAACCCCAACTCACTCACTCACTCACTCACTCAAACATCACAGCGGGTTGGAAATAATCCAGTCTGGGTCTGGCAAATCGGTGGTTGGTTGGACGTGGCAAATCCATGCCGTCGATGCATGCTGGCTAACAATCAACCCAGTCACACATAGCGAACCTGTCTTCTTCCAACCATGCAGCATAGACCAATGATAAGATTTTCTACTCAGAAGTCTAAAACGGGGTTCATAATTTTGAAATCGCCTCCGTTGTCTCGTGGACAGAGCGTCTGCCCGGAGAGCTTGGTGTTGCCCGGAGAGCTTGGTGTTACCCGGAGAGCTTGGTGTTACCCGGAGAGCTTTGTGTTGCCCGGAGAGCTTGGTGTTACCCGGAGAGCTTGGTGTTACCCGGAGAGCTTGGTGTTACCCGGAGAGCTTGGTGTTGCCCGGAGAGCTTGGTGTTGCCCGGAGAGCTTGGTGTTGCACGGAGAGCTTGGTGTTGCCCGGAGAGCTTGGTGTTGCCCGGAGAGCTTGGTGTTACCCGGAGAGCTTGGTGTTGCCCGGAGAGCTTGGTGTTAACCGGAGAGCTTGGTGTTACCTTGCCTGGCGCTCCGCATTAGGGGATAAAACAAAGACTGATCGGCTCGGAGCCCTTACACTTTCTCATGTTAAACTGCGACATGATCTCTTAATGGGCTACAACTATAAAACCGGCATAAGTCTGGTCTAGTACAAGCAGACACACAGTCGTACACACAAATGAATGCACGTCACTATGTAAGTGTTATAATCTTGAACGCGGCGCTAAACCTCACCTCACTCCGCTGCAGCCTAACTACCCGATCCATAAATTCAATAAACATAGGATTCTGGGGCTAAATTCTACCCCGGAATTCCCATGGACAACTTTCTTTGACAATGTTCTTGAAAATACGCACGGATATTGATCCCTGTGATCTATTTGGTTGATAAGAAGCAATGGTATTGCACACATCAATTCTGCATTATTGACGTGTGTTCCCATATTTGATCCCATTAGTATTTACCAATAAAGCCGAAGCCAATCGAAACTAACAGTTAAGTCCGCGTTCATATCGAACGTAAAGCTATACGAACCTGTCTTCAATATGGCCCATGTATACGGTTGTAGCTCTCACGAGAAAGAACATGAACCATTGCTTAAAAGATAAATGACTGCTTAATAAACCAATGCATGTTCGAAAAAAACACATTGAGATCGGAAACAAGAATACTTTGTCATCAGCATCAGGACTCAGCAGCCATCAATATACCAGCTACTTCACGTGGGTGTACATATTTGAGTCTGGATCTGACAAACCAGTGACTGAGAGCAATTTCAACCAATGACGTCACCGAGGTCCGAGGATCAGCAATACAGCAAGTGTCTAAAGAGTCGAGTTCAATGGGTGCCCAATTGATATTCTTGGTGTGTGTGTGCGCGCGTGTTTGTGTGTGTGTCTTGTATATAAAAAGCGTCTTGTCAGGATACTTTCATGGCTGAATTGGAGGCATGATCATTGGGAGGGAGTTGGGTTTAACTCCACTTTGAACAGTATTCCAGTTATATCACGGCGTGTCAGCTTAATGTGGGGGGAAAGCCAGAAGAGATGCAGGTCATAGACGTTTACCACTTTCAAATCCACGAGCACGGGTATGGTGCTGACAAACATATTCGGGGCAAACCGGGATTCGACACGCCGTGATATAACTGGAATACTGTTAAAAGCGGCGTTAAACCCAACCCTCTCACTCACTCGAACCCCCAAAACACTGGTTTCTGCTAAACCAAAGGGACAGCGAATTGCTGGCCTTAGACGACTGCGCCACCCATGACTCCTGGGCATTTGGAACCTATTCAAGTTTAAAGGACGCACGTGTGTGAAGAGCTTGTGTCATTTCTGCTCGCTTGGTCACCTTGACATCACATCAAATGGAAAAGTAAAATGTTTATTAGAGGTCGGGTATGGAATATGTATACCCATACTAGTGAGACAATACAAGACTATATAAACTCCCCGTCCGTACTTTCCTGGGTATAATAACTTATCGTAGGGTAAAGCCTCGCAAGGTTTAGGGCAAAACTGTAGTTTTTATTGACACATCAAAGAAAGTGATGATGCTGATCACGCTGGTGATTGTGGGACGCTTCTTTTGGTAACACGGATATTGGCCATCTGAACACGATCGGCAAAAATAGAACATACGTGAAAAATCTTCTTTGCGGTTACGGTTTGGGGCGAGATTGGCCGAAAGGGCTTGTAGTTGGGACGGAAGTGGCCGCTGTTGTCTCTGGACTGGAGGGAAATTGCTTTTAAATTCTTGTATCGCAAGTTGCAGAAGCATTTAAACAAAAGAAAACGTGCGTACCGACGAACTCCAAACTAAACACCATTTCAGAGCATATCTCAACAGACACTGAACTGAAAACACTGAAAACTAATATGAAAATTATGCTGTACAACAGCCTGAAACATACCCCGGACCATCAAACCAACAGAATAAAACCTTCCGAACACTTGGCGAGCTACGTTACTGAATTTCAAGACTCCTATTGCAAATTAGCTCTTCGACTAACACACACACACTACTTGAGATTGTGTGTTACAGTGACCTAGAGGTGTGTAAATGCGTAATTCCAGGTCAAATATAAATGCATGGTTACTTATTTTTAAATGTAAAAACGTTTTGCGAATACGAAGTGCCTATTCAAGTCCTATGCATGCGTATTCAAATATTTTCTTTTATTCTTGGTTGTTTTGTTTTTTAAAAGAAAAGGAAAAGAAGCCTTCCCTCAAATTCATCAAATGGCATAAATAGTCATACATTCAAATTCACATCAGTTTAATTTCTGAAAACCTGCTTTATTGTAAACTGGTTTTCATTCAAATTATATTTGTTCAAAGAAACTGACAGCGATGCAAGGCTCGGATCCGGACACTCTGGGAGCGGCAACATTCAATGAGGACATCACACTGTCGAGGTGTGTCAATGCATTTATTCTTTTCAAGCTTAATGTCATATTTGCTGATTTATAAATGTTAAAACGCCCGTGGGAACATGAAGTCATTCAAATTCTTATCAATGTAACACCTTAAAATTGCTTGAACTGTAAACACGTTATTCATTAGACATCCAAACAGCAAGGGGACGGTAAGATTTATTGAGGACATACCGCCTCCGTGGTGTCTGAATGCGTACTTAAAAGTTTAATTTAACAACAAGTATACGTGTTGACATGCGTTTTTCTTGAATTCTCTCAGTTCATGAGGCATTGATATTTATATAAATCCATTTGATTTGGTTGTTATAGTGTGTGTTGCTTGTATTGTAACTTGTAAAGAACCCGGACAATTGTATATATGTTTTCTTTAATATTTCCGATAACACCATTTCTTAAGGTATATCTCCTGAATTTCCGTCACGTAACTGTTGCGCCTATCTATCACATACAGATCGAAGCTTTTTATCGCGTAAAGTTCGCGCCTCTTGTCGCGAACGGTTTACGATCGTGACTTTTTATTGTGTTCCGTCAGCGTTTCTGTATCGCAAACGGATCGCGTCCCTCTATCGCGAAACGATCCTGCATCCCTTTCGCGTACCGATCGCATCTTCTTTGTCGGCTTTTGCATGGGAACATAAGCAACACTATTAAATATAATCTTATTTGTCTAGGTCAGTGAGATTGTTAACTCTCGTATTGAAGTGTTCAAATACAAAAACCGGATATTTAATATTGATTACTACACTGTTTACAGAAAACAACAAACAAGGCCATCGCATACATGAGACACTTTTTGTTTTATTGGTTGTGACTGTTACAACTTTTGGCTATCCCGGTGTGCCGCACTCATGGCATTGAAACGTCAGATATAGTCTTGGTAGTCACTATACGATGTTGATATATCCCAGATGCTCACTATACGATGTTGATATATCCCAGATGCTGACTATACGATGTTAATATATCCCAGATGCTCACTAAACGATGTTGATATATCCCAGATGCTGACTATACGATGTTGATATATCCCAGATGCTCTCTATACGATGTTAATATATCCCAGATGCTGACTATACGATGTTAATATATCCCAGATGCTGACTATACGATGTTGATATATCCCAGATGCTGACTATACGATGTTGATATATCCCAGATGCTCGCTATACGGTGTTGATATATCCCAGATGCTGACTATACAATGTTGATATATCCCAGATGCTGACTATACGATGTTGATATATCCCAGATGCTCGCTATACGATGTTGATATATCCCAGATGCTGACTATACGATGTTGATATATCCCAGATGCTGACTATACGATGTTTCTATATCCCAGATGCTGACTATTCGATGTTGATATATCCCAGATGCTGACTATACGTTGTTGATATATCCCAGGTGCTCACTATACGATGTTGATATATCCCTGATGCTGACTATACGATGTTGATATATCCCTGATGCTGACTATACGATGTTGATATATCCCAGATGCTGACTATACAATGTTGATATATCCCAGATGCTGACTATACGATGTTAATATATCCCAGATGCTGACTATACGATGTTTCTATATCCCAGATGCTGACTATACGATGTTGATATATCCCTGATGCTGACTATACGATGTTGATATATCCCAGATGCTGACTATACGATGTTGATATATCCCAGATGCTGACTATTCGATGTTGATATATCCCAGATGCTCACTATACGATGTTGATATATCCCCAGGTCATGTTTTCAAGTGGTAAATGCCTGAGACCCACATCGCTTCAGGCTTCCTCTCACATTAAGCTGACATAATATAACTGAAATACTGATCAAAGCGCTGTTATACCAATCTCACTCTCACTCACTCACTCATTCTACGATGTTAATAGATCAAAGATGGTCACACTACGATGTAGATATATCCAGGCGACAATTATACGATGTTGATATATCCATGGTGGCCACTATATGATGGCGATGTCGGCGCAGTTGTAATACTGTTCCTGTCTGCCCCGACCCAGGCCACACCCCGCAGCATCGCACCCCCAGAAGTTCCCTGCAACACATCATGTATGGTTCATTATGGGCAGGAACAGTTACACAAGGGAAAAGGTCACGCACAACCGGTTATAGATTTTCACACATGTGAAAATTACAACACACGAAATGGATGTTATAAATCCATATCCGTCGATACCCCCTGAACACGAATACTGTCACTATATTTGTTTGTCTGGTTGATGTTTAACGCTGCACTCAGCATCTATATGATGGCGGTCTGAAATAATCGGGTCTGCATCAGGCAATCCAGTGATTGATATCACCATCATCGATCCACGCAATTGGGTACGATAACATGCATCAACCAAGTCAGTGAGCCTGACCCCCCGATCCCGTTAGTCGCCTCTTACGACAAGTGTTGTCGCCCTTTACGACAAGCATTGGTTGCTTAAGACGTATTCTAACCCGGATCTTCACGACAGATTAACTTTAGCAATTTGACAGAATCGGGTGATCCTTAACTTCTTTTGAGTAGTATATATACGTATGGTTCTTACAACAAATTTACATGATTGTATTATTACCTATTTTTATTACGACGTAACATAAGAAGCTGCAAACGGTAAATAATATTCTACCTGTATTATATTTCCACTGCAATATGCACTGTTGACATCTGACCCCAGCCGGAAGAGACACCTGGATGACCTTTTCACCAGTGCCAACGTCAAGGTGATATCTCGTCCTTCCGTCCGCCATCTTTAATAAATGTTGCTCGAAGCATTCACGACTTGCTGGGCTGGTGACGTCATTGCTTTCACACAACCGGAACTCGAAGTACCCTCTGTGATTGACTGTTAGGTTAATTTTTACCGCGACGCTGCTTCCGGTTGTGTACTTCCGTCCAATTATACCCTTGGCGAACTTGCCACCAGCCTCGTTGTCGCGTGGAAAACTATCCCAGCGGTCCCCGCAAACACCGCACTTGCCGTTGTTGACATTCCACAGTACCTGAAACAGATGGCAGCGAATTGTACTTTTCAGGTGCATGTTTAAATTGGTTCTTACGACAAACATTGGGTACTGTGCACCAGGGGTAAAACAAGACTTGAACGATGTAAACGTCCAGGCGGAGTATCTCATGTTTCTCGCACTGTTCTCGAGTAGAGTGAGTGAGTTTGGTTTAACGCCGCTTTTAACAATATTTCAGTTATATCGCGGCGTGTCAGCTTAATGTGGGAGGAAAGCCCGAAGTGATGCAGGTCTCAGACGTTTACCACTTCGGTGAAACCCACGAGCACGGGTATGGTGCTGACAAACCTAGAAACATAATTGGGGCGAACCGGGATTCGAACCCACAATCATAGGTTTCTGGCGTGCCCAAGGGATGCAACTCTGCACAGCGGATCGCGGCGGCTTAGACGACTGGGCCACCCGTGCCCCCGTTCTCGAGTAGAACAGATTCCCAGTACATGGCAGGCAGGTTAACAACAAGTACCATCTGTTAACGTCTTTCGGTATGACGCGGACTGGGGATCGAATCCCCGACTCTGCGCTTTCCGTGCAAACGCTCTGTGCACTTGACCACGGAGACGGTTGTCTGAGTTAAGGCCCAAAATTCATACATTTGTTAGTTGTTTACGTCTCACTCAGCAATATTCCAGCTGTATAACGGTGGTCACTAAATAATCAAGTCTGGACCAAACAATCCAGTGATCAACCAGAGATCATATTCCGTATATGGTCTCTGCATCAACCAAGTCTTGACCACCCGAACCAGTTGGTCGCCTCTCACGACAAGCGCAGTCGCCTCTTATGACAAGCATGGGCGTGGCTACCAACACTGCATATTGAACACATGATCAGCGTACACTCACTTCCTCCAGAGAGGGTGAAACATTGGCATGAACGTACCAGAAAAAACAAACATTTGATGGCATTTAGCGTACAGCACTGCGGCATCCGGAATACTACTCTACAGGGTTCGGGGTTGTCTCCCATTTGTTAGACAGCCAGTTGTTAGACAGTCGAGATGTGGTTTGGTTTGGTTTGTTGTTTATCACCGCACTCAACAATATTCCACCTATATGACGGCTGTCTGTAAATAATCGAGTCTGGACCTGACAATCCAGTGATTGATATCATGAGCATCGATCCACGCAATTGGGATACGATCATATGTATCAACCAAGTCAGCGAGCCTGACCACCCAATCCCGTTAGTCGCCTCTTACGATAAGGATAGTCGCCTTTTACGGCAAGCAAGGGTTGCTGAAGACCAATTCTACCCCGGATCTTCACGCGTCTGGAGATGTGGGTCAGGTAAGACAACACTCACAGCTGTAGTGGGACAGTCCTATTTGGATCGCTTTAGTGAGAGGAGAGCTTGCCAGAAATTGATGCGAACCTAAGTATTTTTTTTAAATTAACAAAACTTAGGTTATGAACAACTAGTACATCCATATAGAGTGAGTGAGTTGTGTTTAACGCCGCTTTTAACAGTATTCCAGTTATATCCCGACGTGTCAGCTTAATGTGGGAGGAAAACCCGAAGTGATGCAGGTCTCAGACGTTTATCACTTCGGTGAAACCCACGAGCACGGGAATGGTGCTTGCAAACCTAGAAACATAATCGGGGCGAACCGGGATTCATAGGTTTCTGGCGTGCCCAAGGGACGCAACTCTGCATACAGAATCGCGGGGCCTTACACGACTTGGCCACCAGTACCCCACACCCATATAGAACTAGCGCTCATGTATATCATACCAGCTTCTACTTGCCATTTAAAGAAGCATCCTGCACATAAGTATACAATGATGACACAACCACACTGATGGTACTGATGATTGACTCACACTCAAATGAAAGGAAAGTTGAAGGAGTCATCTCACGCCTCAGACTCGGTAAAAAAGAGCAAAATAATAAGGTATGCCCATCTAGCAATCAACCTGAATCCATCGCTCACTTGTTACTGAAATGTGAATACCATGCCCCAGCCAGAACTTCGATAAAACAAGAATTGCAGTTTGATCCGCTATCTGTCGTAGATATCTCCTCTTCCCGAGGCAAGTGAGTTAACTGATTTTAAAAGATCAGTTTCCATTTTTTTATAGTCAGTTGACTCTCTTGCCTCGAGAAGAAGTAGATATCCCAAAGCCAAGAGATGCAATAGCGAAGTCCATACTAAGTCTATTCCTGAAAGATGGTCAGCTACTCGAACGCATACACACAGAGCGGCCAAAGATATTTTGTCAATTTCTAAATATCTAAAATCAAATCACGTCAATGCGAAAATAGAAATATTATCAATAAAAAAACAAGAAATGTTAGATATGTGTGTACCTGTGCTCACACACGCGTCCCAAATAGGGACATGTCAACCGAAATTGCTGAGGCAGAAGGCGACCTCTTAAACACTTAAAGCAAGAACAACGTATGAAATTGATCGTATCGGCATGGCATGATTAGGCAAAGTAGAATATGTTCCCTCGCAGACAGAAACTCTATTTAATCTCAAAGTATAGAATTGAGAGCACAATAACAGGTAACAGACATAGAGGGCGTTATGTTATCCCATTACCTATCTACAGTAACAGGTGACTACTTTGTTGTACATACATCTGGAAATGTTGTTTTAAGCCGTCTAACCACTGTTTGTCTAACAAATGGGGGGATGACTGATGTCAGAGTATAAAACAAAGTGGTGAGACAAGCTACATGCAGTCAATACAAGGGGCGAGGGGAAGAAATAAACTGAGAACCTACAGGCGTTTCAAACACCATTACGATACGGAAGATTACGTTAAGAAACCACCGAATCGTTGCGACAGAAGTGCGCTCGCTAAATTTAGATGCGGGGTAGCCCCATTAAAGTTAGAAACTGGCCGCTATTCTAATATTCCAGCAGAAGAGCGATTTTGTTTTAACTGTAGAGACTGTGTGGAGGACGAGATACACGTCTTACTTTTATGCCCACTATATAATGATGTGAGAACAGATCTTCTTAAACGAAGTACTTTTACTGATCCGTATTTCAAAGGCTATTCCTACTGTGAGCAATTTACACTACTTCTATCCAGCTCCGATCTCACCTTTTACGTGGCCAAAACCTGCTATGATATTTTATTGAAGCGCCGATCTATTTTATATTCATGATGTATATATTGTATGTATATTCATTTTAGTATATAAGTTGGTTTTATGATCATATCGTCTCTCATAAGTCGTTTTACGACTGGCCGTAAGTTTTAAGCATGTTTTGATTTATATGCATATTGTACAATGTACCTTATGGGTGAGACGCAAATAAATTATTGTCTGTCTGCCTCCCAAAATAGGGTTGGCACCTTCAATTACCCCTAATTGAAAACTGACACGCAGTGATATAACGTACCAAGTGGATTCTGGTCACTCTCTCGGACCACAATGTAGCCCCGAAATCGTGGATTAAGAAATAATACCAACGTCCCCTTAAAAATAAAATAATAATAATAATGAAAAAAACCCAACTTACCCCAAACCCTCCGCAAAACAAACTGTTGTCGTTATAGTTGACGACGGCACCGGCGATGTTCTGCCGCCACATACTTGAACGTGCAGGGGGATCAAACATGTAACCATGGCAACTGATGACATTCGCCTGACCAGCAATAACCAACAACGCTATGAGATGAACGATACCCATATCAATACAATATTATTGGACACGATTCGACTTCCTTGAAACCCTCTCCGTGCTGTGTAAGTTCTACGCGTGAGACTTATATATATACCCATGGCACACAATAGATCGAGGTGGTTTCAAATTTCAGCTTATCATAGTCAATATACGATGACAGCGAGAAGTTTCAAGTACATTTTCCGAGTTAAATCCTGTTTGTGGTAAAATACCGGATAAATCGGGTGATTGCGAAACACGCTGATATCATCATCAGAGTTGACTTTTATTCACCTCTTGGCTTTTATTTACCTAAAATGTACATTTCATACTAGAGGGAGGCCAGATATTCTTAGATTAAAACCTAAAAAAAAAAACTAAAAAGAATTAAAACCATCAAGCAACAATGTATTTCCTTTTTTGAACAGGCTAAAGACTAATTATTTTTTAAATGCCTTTTCTAGGACAATTTCTCCCCATCACACTCATACGCACACGCACATGCGCACACACGCACATCACTGACTTGAATATATACATCCCATAAGACCAATACCACATGCTCTTATTTTAAGTTCGAACCCATCTAACACCACACCACACCACACCGCACCGCATCGCACCGCACCGCACCGCACCGCACCACATCTCCCTTTCTGAAGCATAATAAAAAGTGTTTAATATTAAGTCAAAATGGGGTTTACAGCGACGTGCGTGTATGTGTGTGTATGTGTGTGCGTGCGTGCGCATCCCATAAGACCAATACGACATGCTCTTATTTTCATTTTTTTAAAGTGAGAACCCATCCAACACCACACTGCACCGCATCGCACGGCACCGCACGGCACCGCACCGCCATTTCTGAAACATACTAAATAGTGTTTAATATGAAGTCCAAATGGGGTTTATAGCGACGCGCACGTGTGTACGTGCGTGCGTACGTGCGCATCCCATAAGACCAAAATCCACATGCTCTTATTTTCAATTTTTTTTAAAGTTAGAACCCATCCAACACCACACCGCACCTCATCGCTTAGTTTAGTTTTTATATTCTGAGTATAAACTATAGCACCAGAGGTCACGGTGTTTAAATATTGCAGTAGTAATATCCGTGTTACAGGCAAATGGGCTTTGGTTGTGACATAGCATTTGTACAGCGACACAAAAACCGATTCGTCACTTCTCCTTTGTCGCCTTCCAACGTTTTCGCTTCACATCACATTTTCAAAGAATTAGTAAGAATTATCAAAAACCGGATTGGGATTGGTATATTTTCAATAAGTGATGCATCCTCCTTTGAATGTGAAGAGTTTCCGTTGTATAGGATGTTGTCTTATCTACCCGTGGGTATCCTGTTGACGAGGGATCCGTGACGCGCCTCTTATTTCGAAGAAAAAGTCGTTTGGAAGAAGAAATTGAAGAAAACAATATCGTTATTGTTGTCAACTGTAGATGGAAATTTTTTAAGAGACCTGAGAAACATTTTGATTTTGTAAAGGCATCTGGACGAAGAAAGCTTTGAAAAACAGTTTGAATTCGGACCCAAAAGGACGGTAAACTTGTACTTTTGTTGTTCTTACATGTACATAGCCCGTGAAGATCCGGGTTAGAATAGGTCTTCAGCAACCCATGCTTGCCGTAAATGGCGACTATGCTTATAAGAGGCGACAAACGGGATCGGATGGTCAGGCTCGCTGACTTGGTTGATGCATGTCATCGTATCTCAGCTGCGTAGATCGACGCTCATGATGCCAATCACTGGATTGTCTGGTCCAGACTCGTTTAATTACAGACCGCCGTCATAATAGCTTTAATATAGCAAAAACTTAGGAGGCGACTGACTGTATCTGGTGGTCAGACCCGGTGACATGTTTGATGCATGCTCCTGATGTCTGGGATGTATGGTCCAGACAACCAAGTCCCAATCCCGATACTCGCCTCTAACGACAAGTATGAGTTGCGCAAGATCAATTCTAACCCGGATAATTACAGTGGAGAGTCGGGGTTGAAAATGTAGCTCTCATTCGCGACCGAATGTATGTATTGAAATTCAGCCTTGTAAATGTATTAAGAACAAGAGTGCTTTGAGAGCACAACATCCCCCGCATGAATCTTTTTAACGAGTCAAATGAAGCTCCGTTAAACAGGGGTAGTAACTCTGTCTAAATTAGTCGAAATGAAACGGGACTGCGATATGCGTATCATCAACATGTCAACATCTTGTGTGTAGAGTGTCAGGGATATTCTTTGGAAACTGTAGGAGGAGTTGATTTCACAAGCTTAGTACCCTCTGTGGGACGGACGGACAGACAGACGGACGGACGGACTGCGCCACGACATAATCCCCCTTCGGCCATTCTGGCCCGGCGGGGGATAAAAAGGGGGCATTATTTTGCGGTATTTTCTGGGCCTTGGACACGAAGGCGTCTTTGGTCGTAACTGACAAATTCAAGGCAAGTTCAACAAAGTCAACAAAATCTATATTGTGTTTTTTTCATGTCAATATATGGACCACCGAGAATGTACATATTGTGTGAAGACCTTATCGTGTCCCTCACTATGAAATTGCAGCAGCGGGGTTAAAAGCGGCGTAAAAGCTCACTCATCAAACCCTCTGGGTCAACAGCTGTCGACTGAGACCCCTTAACTAAAAACCTCGCTTGAAGACAGCCTTTGTGGTCTCGTGGATAGAGCGTTTACCCGGAGAGCGGAAGATCGGTGCTTCGATCCACGGCCATGTCAAACCAAAAGACGTTAATAGATGGAACTCCTTGTTACTCTGCCCGGTGTTGGGCATTTAGGTGATAAAACAAAAACTTGGCTAGCACTATAAAACCACATTAGTCGGGACTAGTACAAGCAGCCACACACACACACGTCGCTACATGTGCAATAATCTTGAACGCGATGTTATGCCACTTCACCTCACCTCACTTGAAAATAATAACATGCAGATTTAACGTGAAAACTGTTTATTGTTCATAACCAATAATAAGGAAATATAGAAAAGGTAGACAAAACGTGATATATATAAGTTATATCACAGTAGGCAATATGGGCGTCGATAACACTAGACGAAGCAGCCATCGTCCAAACGGTAAAATATGACAAGTCACCACTATATTTCAAATCACCAAAGAGATGGTGAAAACAGAAATTCAACAACTAAAGGTTGTTAAAGCACCACAATTCAACAAAGGAATGATGATGTTTAAAGTGGAAGCTCTCATTAAAAATATATTATTTTCACCGATTAGATTCCTCATTCTGTATCTGGAGAATGAACGTTAGGGGCAGCTCCCATTGGACATTAGGGCACTAGAAAAGTCGTCGAGTGCCGCCGTTTAATGTTGGCCTTTGTCACCTGTTGATGTGACGGCGAAAAACAGAATTTTGAAACGAGTGCGCAGAAGAAAGTTGCAAATATTATATTAGTGTCACTGCTTATATTGAAAAAAATTGTATACACTCTGTATTAGTGCACTTGACAATGCCGCTATGATAAAGGGAAGCAAGAGACACTGGCAGGTGCCCGTCTGCGAGAAAGGTATTTCATTTACCTGAATAAGTATTACTTGACCCAATGTTTAATTTTATGTACTCCGTGCATAATGTTTTATGCTGTGCATGCTGAAATATACAGATATGTGTCAAGCGAATATTCATGAAAGGTGGTGTGGTCGACATATTTGGCATTTGACCAACTGGAATCTGGTATTATTCAACGCCACGGTAGAACATATCAAATTTAATTTTTAAAGTATAATCCTTTAATACATCAAGGTATAAACGCTGTAATCAACTTCACAATGGAAGTATATAACCGAAATAACACGAGGGGTATACGAAGGCGTTATATCGACCAAAGGTCTAGAAATAAACTAGAAAAAATACCAACCCAAAGAATGCCAATAAAATTATAAACTTGTTATTCACAGTACGAAATTATTCTTCGAATCATCTATCATCCATAAACTGGCGACCACAAGAGATATTGCTTTGGTGAGATACTGCTACAATGAAGTTGCATCACAATGCATTGCAGACCATTGTGGCGTCATATTCAAATGACATCTCTGATTTTTCTGCCACTGAAGCCGGTTAGCTGTACCAATTAACTCAAACACTGGTTATCACTGTTTACAAACTGAAAAAGATGGACGTATGATTTTGGATGATAAATACAATCCAACCCGAATATCAACTGATATCAACACTGATCCAGTTTATCAATCCTCGGAGTTTTAAACCTTTATCGACTCCGTGATATCAAAAGACATTCAGGTTCTCCATTTGTCTTGTCTGTACATCACAAGAATAACATTTATTCATCACTATTCGCCCTTTGCGTTAATTGACGGAAGTACTCACCCAACGACAAACACATTAAACGAATATAACTCGAATGGTTCTGAATGGAATGATTCCGATTATGCTCTTCCGGTTTGCCCTGGAATGACAGCTGCGCATAGATCGATGCGCAGCAGTCAGGGCTGGGATGACCGGAAGGGTTAACGCGTTTTGCGCAAGCTCCCAACAGCGCCATGAATGGTGCGGGGATTTTGCAGATTTCGTTGTATGAGGTATTACAGGGGACGTTCTTTTTCATTATTCTGTGGAACAAACTAACACAACCTTCTCGGCGCCGTCTAAGATGGAGCCTTCTCTTTCCACGCTTCAAAGAAACAATAGCTGTTTAGAGTTAAGGCATTTTAGTACAATTTTGTAGTGAGTGAGTCGGGGTTTACATCGCTTTGGACCGTATTCCAGTTATATCACCGCATGCCAGCTTGTGAGAGGAAAGCCCGGAGTGAGACAGGTCCGAGACGTTTACAACTTTGGTGATACCCTCGAACTTGGATATGGTGCTGAATCACAAGAAAAATAACTGGGGGGAATCTGTTATTCGAACTATCGATTATAGGTTTCGAACTTGCCTAAGGGGCGCAACTCTGTGTAGCGAATTGTGGCGTTTTGGCAGCCCGTATTAACATGAACTGGAGAAGTAGCATTGTCATGAAACCAGAAACTGATAAACATACTGGTTGAATAAACCAGGGTCCTCGTTACCCTATTGGTGGTCGTTTAAGGGGAGATTAATTATGATTGTTGATTGTCTGATGTTTGGTTAGTGGCGACTAGAATTAAGATTTATTTTTTTATGAGATTGATACCGGCCATGTTTTGTTTGAAGGATACATTTCTTGAAATGATGGGACATATTTTGTAAATACGTCGAACACCATGCCCAGTCGTTGAAGATTTTTCTTGGTTTCAGCCACGTAGGTTGCGCAGCTGGTCGTGTTTCCCTGTTTTAATACAAGAAATTGAAATAGCACCCAGTATACATTATAACTATGGTTATCTTATTTACAAATATATATCTTCAAAATATAAAGTAAACTCAAAATGGAGCCTGGAACAATAGACTTGGGTTGGATTCAATTATATTTTATTCTCTAACTCTAGAGTCTGGGGGACAGACGACATACAGTCTGTTCACCTAAACCATGTTGGAATTTTGCATAAGGATTCAAGATCGAAAACATCTTTCTTTGCTCTTTTCAATAGTGACAAAGTACTTACCCGTGCCAAATACTTCCCTTCAGGGGAGAGAACTCTGATGCTCAACTCCAGATTCACACTGGAGGTGGCGAAATCGTAGTCAAACCCTGCAATATAACTCAATGAAGTGACAATGTTACAAATCACAGAAATAGTTCGTTTCTTTTGGGGCCGCCATATCGATTTTCGAACCGTTACCTGTTTTTCGTTTTTGGTCAATTTTAAAGTTCACTTTTGATGACACCCAGAAGCGAATTTGAAGGTAGGTGATTAAGACAGAGAGGGTAAAATAAATATTGTGTTAATATTCGGTTCCAAGATCCAAAAGCTGTAAACCCTACAGTGACTTTTGGTTTAACTCCGCTTCGAACAGTATTTCATTAAAATCAGCGACCTGTGAAGATCCTTGCCGCAAGAGGCGACTATGCTTGCCGCAAGAGGCGACTAACCGGATCGGATGCTCGCTGACTTGGTTTGATGCAGGTCATCGTATCCTAAATATGTAGATTGATGCTTATGATATTAATCTGGTCCAGACTCGATTGTTTACAAACCACCGTCATATAGCTGAAATATTGCTGCGTTCGGCGTTAAACAGACAAGCAAGCAAATAAACAAACCTCCAATCCAAAACACGTTCAGTGCAAATGATTTACGGGTCGCAGTTGACATTAATGGTTTCTAGTACAACGTATTCAGTTTGTCTTCTCTGTGTAAATATAAGGTGTGATACATACATCACCCATGCCATTGTTCTCTTTGATTAATAAATGTAGGAATGGTTTACGGCTCTTTAACAAGCTCAGATACATGTATAAAGTTGATCCTGTCAGAGAAATCCCCACTGACAAGTGAAACATGCATTTCATTTTCAAGTGGATGTCAGCTTTTAGATTTACAATGTTTGCACGGGGGTTGGTTCTGCCCCATATACGACCAGGTTCAGCAGCTATTTTGTTATATGAGAGGGAAGTACTATCAAATGTCAAGGGAACATGAATAGCTTTCTACATGCAGTACGAAAGAGAGTGACGCAACTCTGCACAGCGAATTACGGCGCCTTTGACGGCTGGGCCACCCGTGCCCCCGAAAACGATATTTACAACAAGTTGCATTGGAGAGAGGCTTTTAACTGTACCGTAGTTTTCCTTGTCGACGCTGAATTCGGTGAGATCGTTTACCACGTAGTCAAACGTAGCATTCCTTTCGGTAGCACGTTTCATGTAATTGATACAGTCATCTATCTCGATCTGCAACATACAATAACGTTTGTCAGCACCATACCCGTTCTCGTGGCTTTCACCGAAGTGGTAAACGTCTGAGACCTGCATCACTTCGGGCTTTCCTCCCACATTAAGCTGATACACCGCGATATAACTGGAATATTGTTAAAAGCGGCGTTAAACACAACTCACTCACTCACTCACTCACATACAACAACGACGCGCAGTGCTCAGGAGACGTTACTGAAGTCACAGTCGTCGTTGTAGTTGTTTTACGCCGCAGTCAAATGAGGCTGATTGGATGTCATGGTACCCTGACATGGGTACTACTACAACAACAGATATTATTACTACTTCCACTACAGTTACTACTAATACAATTACTACTACCAATACAATTACTACTACTATAACTATAACTGCTACAGCTATTACTACTACTACTACAATTACTACTACTACTTCTACAGCTATTACTACCACTACTACTACTATTACTACTACTTCTATTGCTACTACAACTACATCTATTATTACTACTAATACTACTATTACAACTACTACCGTAACTACTACTACAGCTATTATTACCACTACTACTACTATTACTACTACTTCTATTGCTACTACTACTAGTAGTACTATCTTCCAAAAAGTTTCTCACTAGGTAACAGAACGACCTGTAACTGACTTACCTTGTAATTCTCTCCTTCGTATTGGTCCAATGCACTTCCGCATATACTGCGCATGTGCGTCCTGCATGCTTTCATAACTTCTTCGTCAATATGTTAAAGTCAAGGCAAATCAGTTCAACAAGCGTTAACAATTACGATCAATAAAGATTCAGAAAGCTTTTGAAATTGGACAACACTACCGTGGATAATGTCGGAAAAGCGAAATTAAAGAACCACAACAAGGATATCTCTACCATGGTGACGAAGGCTGGTCTGGTCCTCGTGACGAGCTCGTGCAGCAGGCCCCCGTCCCCGCCCCCCAGGATGAGGACCGTCTTACCGGTGAAGTCGTTTCTGTCCAGGCCGAGCACTGTCTCTGTGTACACCAAGTCGCTCTCGCCTATCACTGCAACACGACAAGGAGTGAGAGATGTATCGATGTACAAGCCGACGGATAGCATACACGGTGAGGGACATTTTTATATTAAAAAAATAATTTTCCAATAAATGCTTGAAAAAAATAATTTCGCCTACAGGTGATACACATAAAGAATGAGTGAAAATATGTATTGTGGTTTACAGTGTGAGTATTGTTTTTACGCCCCTTTTGGCATATTCAAGCAATATCACGGCGGGGGACACCAGAATTGGGATTCACACATAGTATTCTTGTGGGGAATTAAACCCTCAACAATGTTTGGTTATCCCACAAACAACATGCGCATGACTATTTTGGAATAAAATAGAAAACGTTTTCTTTAGTGCTATCGCCTTCCGTGCGGAGTGCTGAAGTTACGTTGCCTTGCCCGAGTGGGTGGTGAGGTGAAATGGGGTTTAACGTCGCGTTCAAGATTATTGTACTTATAAAGCGACGTGCATGTACGTGTGTGTGTTTGTGTGGCTGCTTGTACTAGTCCGGACTGATGCCGATTTATAGTGCAAGCTCAATGAGATACCATGCCGCAGTTTAACATGAATACCCCACTCAGACACAGAATACTGATTCCGAGCCGACCAGTCCTTGTTTTAGCCCCTCATTGCCGAGCGCCAGACAGGGTAACAACAAGTACCGTCTTTTCACGTCTTTTGGTATGACGCGGCCGGGGATCGAGCCCCGGACCCTCTCCGGGCGGACGCTCTACCACTAGACCTCGGAGGCGATGGCCTGAGTAGCTGTTTGTTCAAGATGCTAACAATCTTCTCTTACTGACGTCATCGTCCAGGTACAGCACGTTCCCGCATTGTTTTGACTTGAAGATTTTTATGTTTTGCCAACGGGAGTTAGTTTCAAACACCAGTTCTGTGAAATCTCTTTCAATGATTCTCTCGTCCCCCGTTATCATGTACGGCCATGGCGGTTCGCAGCTTCTGTGCACAGGGACGGGCATGCTGCAACAATCAGGAATGTGAGGCTGAAACAGTGATTGTTTGTTTGCTGACACTGATGTTTTGTATGCAATAATTGTGTAAATTGTGTATGCTAATTGTGTTTGTTCGTGAAGTGTTGATGTTTTGTGTTGAAATGGTGATAAAATGTTCATTTTGAAACTGTGATAGACCTAGCTTTTATTTTGAAACAATGATTTGCTTTGTATTTGGAAACAGTGATGATCTTTATTTTGAAACAAATATGGTTTTTTTTATTCTTGAAGAATGATGTTTTATGTTGAAAAAAGGATTGCTTTTAGGCTGAAACAATGATGGTTTTCATGCTAAAACAGTGATTGTATGCTGAAACAGTGATGGATTGTGCTGAAACTGATGGGTTCTTTTTTTATTTTGAAACAAAGATGGTTTTCATTCGGAAACAATGAAGTATTATGCTGAAACAGTGATGGTTGGTGCTGAAACAGTGATGGTTGGTGCTGAAACTGATGGTTTGTATGCCTAAACAGTGTATACGGCACACTGAAATAATAAGGGATTGTACACAGGTATGTGACCTGAACAGAATGACCTGTATGAAGAAAATGTGATGGTTTGCACGCTGAAGCAGAGAATCTGAGTGGAAATTGGGCACATGGCTTAAATGAATCCAGAAGCATCCCCAAGATTCCTTAAGGGGAGACACATCCATCTGTCAAGCGGGTGTCACGTGGCATTATTTTAGTTGCATCAGCACATGGCAGATAAATGTGTGAGGAAAGCCCAATTTGTCGAATATGTTTACGACCCATGAGAACAATGTCATCGATCTAACAAACAAAGAATCGGGAGAATGTAGTAATCAAATACAACACCTGCGGATCCGGGTAAGCCTAAGGGACACAATCATGCTCAGCGAATTGCTGCTCTTTCAATTTCTCGGCGAACCTGTCCCTAACTGTGATTGTAAAGCTTGTAAGTGTGTTTGTTTGTTTGTTTGTTTGTTCGCATGCTTGCTTACTTGCTTAACTTGCTTGATTGTTAACGCCGCACTCAGCAATATTCCAGCTATATGAGGTGAGGTGAGGTGAAATGGTGTTTAACGTCGCGTCCAAGATTATTGCACTTATATAGCGACGTGCATGCAAGTATATGTGTAAGTGTGTGGCTGCTTGTACTAGTCCGGACTGATGCCGATTTATAGTGCTAGCACACTGAGATACCATGCCGCAGTTTAACATGAATACCCCACTCAGACACAGTATACTGACTCCGAGCCGACCAGTCCTTGTTTTAGCCCCTTAATGCCGAGCGTCAGACAGGGTTACAACAAGTACCATCTTTTAACGTCTTTTGGTATGACGCGGCTGGGGATTGAACCCCGGACCTTCCGCTCTCCGGGCGGACGCTCTACCATTAGACCATGGAGGCGGTCCCAACTATATGACGACGGTTTGTAAATTATCTTGTCTGAACAAGACGTTCCAGTGATTGATATGATGAGCATCGATCCACGCAATTGGGATACGATGACATGCCTCAACCAAGTCAGCGAACGTGAGCATGACAAGCATGGGTTGCTGAAGATCTTTTTTAATCCGGATCTTCACGGGTGTAAAGCTGGTGAGAGATCACTTACGTTTTGGCCAACAGACAATATTTGCCAAGATGCTTTTTCATCCGCTCCAACCGTAGCTTTATAGCCTGAAACAAAACATGTGATTTTAATTAGCTATATTTTGTTTAGTTTGAGAGTAATTAGAGCAGTCGCCATTTCGGCAATGCCTTTTGTTATTGTGAGAGTGGGTGACTATGGTTTTACGTCGCTTTTAGCAAATGAATATTCCAGCAAAACACGACGAGGGACACTAGAAATGGGCTTCACACATAGTATACCCACGTGGGGATTCGAACCCGGGGCTTCGATGTGACGATCGAACGTGTTATTTTGAGAAGCTTATTAAGGAGCCCAGTAAATCCAATAAAATGTCATGTGACGTTCGTTAGACGTGTTAAAGTTCACTGTGTAACTTCATATAACACGTTTGCTGTGCAGAGCTGCGTCCCTTGGGCACGCCAGAAACCTATGATCGTGGGTTCGAATCCCTGTTCGCCCCAATTATGTTTCTAGGCTTGTCGTTGGTGTTTTGTTTAACGCCGCACTCAGCAGTATTCCAGCTATATGACGGTGGTCTGTAAATAATCGAGTCTGTACCAGACAATCCAGTGATTGATATCATGAGCATTGATCCACGCAACTAGGATCGATGACATGCTTCAACCAAGTCAGCAAGCCTGACCACCCGATCCCGTTAGTCGCCTCTTACGACAAGCATAGTCGCCTTTTACGGCAAGCATGGGTTGCTGAAGACCTATTCTAACCCGGATCTTCACGGGTCTCTAGGCTTGTCAGCACCCTACTCATGGGTTTGAACAAAGTGGTAAACGTCTAAGACCAGCATCACTTTGGGTTTTCCTGTCCCATTTAGCTGACAGGCCGTAATATAACTGAAACACTGTTAAAAGCGGCAATATAGGGAACTTTCACAAACATGGGTACGGGGATGCTGGTAAGGGAAGCTTCTATCAAAAAAATATTCCCTCGGGGATTACGGCAGGCCCAGTCGTTTAAGTCACCGCGATTCGTTGTGTAAAGTTGCGGCCCTTTGGCATGCCAGGAACCTGTGATCCTTGTTCAAATGCCGATTCGCCCTTATTATGTTTCTGGGTTTGTCAGCACCTGTATCATTTGCGGCTTGCTTCAGACATGAAGCTGAACTGAATTACATCACTGAAATACTGTTCCAAGCGGAGTTAAACCAGTCTCACTCACTAACCCGAAACGAGGGAACGCGAGTGAGCAAACACCTGGTATGGCAAGCGAGTAAGCTTTTAGCAATACTCAAGCAATAGCACGACAGGAGACACCAGATATCGGCTTCACACGTTCTACCGATATGGTGAACGAATCCGGGCCTTCAGCGTGACGAGCGAACTGCTTTAACCCCTAGGCTACCCCACCGCCTCATAGTAAGAATAGGCAGTTGTTTAACGCGGGAACGCTATAGAATGTCGAGGGAACAGGATTGTATTCTTTGTAACCGTAACAGATCCGTACATCAGAAAAACTCACTGCCATTCCTGCTGAAGCGTTACGTTTAATTGACTGTGTCGCTTATTAACGCAGAACGCATGCCACATAAACCTTTTATATATTGTATAGACTAGCAGGCCTGAAACATTTAAACGACTTGTTTCACAAACCATAAGCGGTCATACAGTGCACAATACTGAATAAGGGCACGTGAAGAGTGAGTGAGTGTAGTTTTACGCCACAGTCAGAAATATTCCAGATATGCCTCGCCTGAGGGTAGATAACAGACTCGGTCAGGTCATCCGTTCTTCACTTGAGATTGTGTAATTCCGGTTCAGATCCACTCTAGGAATTTACCCGAACGTCGGAAAATGGCACATATATCGTCGTTTTATTGCGAAATATAAGTTCAATCTCTGTGAGAGGGAATTTTTTTTATTAATACAGGTCCAAGAGGTGAGGTGAAATTGGGTTTAACGTCGCGTCCAAGATTATTGCACTTATATAGCGACGTGCATGCACGTGTATGTGTGTGTGTGGCTGCTTGTACTAGTCCGGACTGATGCCGATTTATAGTGCTAGCTCACTGAGATACCATGCCGCAGTTTAACATGAATACCCCACTCAGACACAGTATACTGACTCCGAGCCGACCAGTCCTTGTTTTAGCCCCTTAATGCCGAGCGCCAGACAGGGTAACAACAAGTACAATCTTTTAACGTCTTTTTGTATGACGCGGCCCGGGATCGAACCCTGGACCTTCCGCTCTCCGGGCGGACGCTCTACCACAAGACCACGGAGGCGGTCTATAGGTCCAAGAGCAAAGGTCCTCAAAATATGGCGGAAATATTGCCGATGTGACAAAATTATTTAAGTCACACGCTCACCCACACACCCACACACAGCCTCTCTCTCACCCACTCACCCAACCACTCGCCCACCCACCTACCACTCACCACTTTCCCACACACACTCACACACTTACTCCTTACTCGCCCACTCACCCATACACTCACTCACACGCCAACTCACTCACTCACCGAACTGTACGGCCTGTCTGGAAGCTGTGTTGCTGAGAGTCTTTGCAGATCGAGTGTGAGGAGCCCGGATGGAAACAGCCTCATCACGGCGTGGCTGCAACATGTGTGATGAATATAAACTATACTCTCTCAAAGCACAGGGTTATTTTCAACGAAGTACATCTGACTAAATGATCTAAATCTCAAACCGACGACTCCTGACCAAATTTTCTTTCAGTGTAAACTTTCTGACAAATAAAACGGTGCATCAGTTCTTTCACGGCCTATCAGATTAATGGGAAAGAGCAAGTGAGTTTGATTTTTCACCGCTTTTAGCAGTATTCCAGCAAAATCACGGCAGGGGACAGCAGAAAAGACGTTTAGCATATCGTACTCTTGTGGGGAATCGAACCCGGGCCGTTTGCGTGACGAGCGACCGCTTCAACCTCTCAGTCACCGACCCTATCAGGGAGGAAAGACACAATGTTAAAATGAAGTATTCGCTCGGAAATCAGGTTATTATTACGCTGATGGGACAGGTTTTTGATCACGATCTTTGAAAGTGTATTCTTTTTGCCACCCTGTTATTATACTAATCCTTCTTTTGATAAATTATCCCAGCTTCTGCCATCAGCGAACCCTGCAGTTTTTAAAAGTAATTAATATCCAAACATTAACTTCCCAGGTAAGCACCTTATTGATATATTTGTTAAGAAACAGCGCACTGTACGCATGTTTGTATATGCAGCTTTTAGGGACAGGTGGCCTCAAATGCAAATAAACTTGTCACGTGTCACAGTGTATTCTTTGGAATCGTTCCCCCTTTGTTACCTGAAAAATAAGGTTCTGAAAAGGGAACTAGAAGCCAAAAAATGAGCACATGTATATCCACGTCAATGTAAGGCTTACAATAAGGTAATACATCTACGTTTAACCTTGGCCTTGTTTTAATGGCATTTAGCTGATAATTTAATGAGAAATATGTCATTTCCAAAAACAAATTATTATTATTTTTTTTTTTTTTTAAACCCAGCTCTTCTCTTTGGCTAAAGCAAACCCGTATAAAACAAAAAAATCAACTTGCTTATGTCTAAGGGCGCCTTCTAATGTATATTTCTACAAACCTAAGCTTCGTCTCACCTTATCTTTCAGTTAACTTGAAATAAAATAAATCACTGGTGCATAAAGTTATTTTGAAAGTACTGAAAGCGAACTGCGATGTATGCGAAAGTAGACGGCGGCCTTAGTCTGAACTCAATCGTACAGCTTTCACATTGTTTGAATTTCTTCACAATGGCGAATTGAAACATGCCGCAAGGATAAATTCGTTGAATCAGCATCTCTCAGGGTATATGTGGCTGTATGCGTTCCTCGTTAGGTTTTAACGCGGGGCGCCCCGAACCACATCTCCTCCGAGTGATGGTGCAACAACTCGTATGATCACTTCGCTAAGGCTCTGAAGAATAGAAACGCACTTTTAGTATTCATCTACCAACTTGGTAACTTAAAAAAGTAATGTCCTTCACGATAGGAGGTCCATATTAAGTCTAGATCTAGACGCTTTAATTGTTGTCATGCTGGGCGAGATGGAAATGCATAATACAATGTGAGGTTTCTATTGTTATAGTGCAAACCATTTCAATTATTTTAATTAAAATAGTGCAAACCATTTCAATACTTATTTTACATTTCATTTATCTAAATACCTTACTGGTTCAATATGTTTCCAAGTGCACCGAAATTCTATGACCTTTGTCTGTTTAATTTATTCAGCAAACATTCGGCGTATCCCCTCTTATCATAAACCCCTCCAGCGCTATCTATAAATTTCAATTGACACCTCCTTACGTCGCCGGATCTTACGTATATACATACGGTACCATACATACACGTGGAACAATGACCTTGCCACACGTTACGTAATACCTCGCTCTACAAAACCCGACTGACATGGTCAACCAGGGAGACACCCGGGAAGATTGGCCACTCGGTCCCGTGTGCGTTCTGTCACGTTATTATCAACATGTACCTTTTCGACTTATTCCAAACCATCAACAATAAACATGGCTGCTGTCGTCTTAAACTTCACCCCTGAGTTTTGTCTTCCGTCATCACCCTGAGCTACAATCCGAGGGCCGAAACTTACGCCCTTGGACACAGGCAACGAAACAATCTCAAAATAATTTGAATCAAAATTTACTGGGCCTTTCATCTGACCCGCGCATACTCCCCCTCAAGTACATTCTGGGACATTTTTTGTGTGATAAAATCACAGATCCCACGCCCTCCCAACCAACGCACATAGACCCGTGAAGATAGACCCGGGATAGAATAGGTCTTCAGCAACCTATGCTTGCCGTCAAAGGCGACTATGCTTGTCGTAAGAGGCAACTAACGGTATCGGGTGGTCAGGCTCGCTGACTTGCTTGATGCATGTCATCATATCCCAATTGAGTGGATCGATGCTCATGATATCAATCACTGGATTGTCTGGTCCAGACTCGATTATTTACAGACAGCCGTCATATAGCTGGAATACTGCTGAGTGCGGCGTTAAACAACAAACAAACAAACCAAAACACATGATGTCAATTTGTCGGCCCCTTATGCAGAAAGAATTAATTGTTCAAAATAAATCGTGTCCGCGGAACAAATGTTTTATTTGTTGAGGCCTAACACACATGCTGATGAAGCAAATATCCGACAATTAAATGCAGTTAGCGAAGCACCTCGGCAACCCCTGTTTTGTCGAATCATTGAAGTGAATATCTTGCTTTAATTTCAATGGCTCGGTTATTCTATGTGAAAATGTGAAAACTCATGCAGCAGCCTATTCAGAGGACCGGTTTCTTGAGATGACTTTTGAACGTATTTTCAAGATAATTGACTTGGGTTGCACAGACATGTTTTTATATACCTATTTCGCCATGTACGAATTGAAGTTTATAAATGAACATAAATGAACACAATGAACTGTTTATATGAAATACATCGGATTAGTCACATGCCGTGAAAGGGTAACTAAACTGGTAGAACATGTATTTTACATACCGTAGCAATGTCAGTTTACTGTATTTCTTCCAAAGGAACTAAATGAAGCATATGGACATTGCGTCCAAATGAGTGGAGTGGTGCGGGGCGACGCGACGCACCGCGACGCACCGCGACGCGACGCGGCATAATATGTCAGTTATGTCACGTCGGTTGTTCCATCCAATCCAAATTATATTTAGTACGGACTGTTAACGATCTGTCTACAATAGGTAATGCTGAAACATGCATTGTGTTTCAGGTGAAATGGAGTTTAACATTGCGTCCAAGATTATTGCACTTATATAGCGACGTGCATGTACGTGTGTGTGTTTGTGTGGCTGCTTGTACTAGTCCGGACTGATGCCGATTTTCAGTGCAAGCTCACTGAGATAACATGCCGCAGTTTAACATACGAGTAAATACCACTCAGACACAGTATACTGACTCCGAGCCGACCAGTCCTTGTTTTAGCCCCTTAATGCCGAGCGCCAGACAAGGTAACAACAAGTACCGTCTTTCCACGTCTTTTGGTATGACGCGGCCGGGGATCGAAACCCGGACCTTCCGCTCTCCGGGCGGACGCTCTACCACTAGACCATGGAGGCGGTCTTGACTTGCGATAAAAAGTGGAGAGTTCTCCATTGCTTGGTTCTATAAAGTACCATCATGCTCCGATTGTGAGGTTTGTTGTTCATGTTTTCCGTCACTTGTTCTCCTGGTCCAGATTTTATTATTCACAGACTACAGTGATACTATACATTTCAAACTACACATGACCATTGCTGCTTTACAAAGTTTAATAATAAGTACACCTTCAGGTTAAAACGTGATCACAAATATATACCATACACATCAGCAGCACAGTGGTCTAAGGCGCCTCAACTTTCTGCGTAGAGTTATGTCCCCTTGTTCTGTTTATTCCGATAATAATCTGTAAAAGGCTCAATTGGGGATCGACAAGGCTAGATTGTAGTTTGCATCTCATCTTATCGACAGCGTTAATCGTTGCTTAACTGGTTTGCCTGGTCCGGACTAGGTCATCTGCAGACTGACTACGGCGTTAAACAATAACAGTTCGCTCACTCGGCATATCAAAATCACACAGCAGTATAACGTCTAGACCTTGGCTTGAAATAAGACATGCAGCGTCCAGACAATTCATCACGCAACAGATGCAAATATAGCCTTCAATTTAACTAAATACTATGCTTTTTAAAGTATTTTGAATAAGACATACAGTCCGTAACAGTTGTTTTGTGTTAAACCTTTGAGGTTACTTGATTAGAAAACATATTCCGCCAAAATTGTAACATAACAATATGAATATTTATTTTATATTTTGTATTACGTGTTTGAATCATTATATCTATCGTGTAGTTGTCCGATTTTCGATCACGAACGTTGATACAACTTAATTTAGTTTATCCGACATACTCGTTAATCCGACATAATCATATGCAACCATCGATGTCGGATTAACGGGACTTGACTGTAATCCGGGAACCAGAATATAACCAACATATACCTATGTCATTCATTATGCTATTAACCGATTGTTAAAAAAAAATGGTGACACCATTTGGCCGTGACTAGTTTCGGTATGAAACAGATGTCATCAAATGAGCTTCCAGTTTGTGCGTCCGGATTCATCGCCCTGCCATCCTCAGGTTGTTCATTCTACCCCAATCCTTGGGTGAGATAAAACACACTTATTGTCAACGCTGAAATTTTGTTTTAACACGTCGTTGCATGGAAACTTGAATGTTATGAGTGCTTCTATTTCTGCATGTGTTTAAAATGGGTAGTCCTACCCAGGCTAATCTCTGATAAGTATGTACCTTGGTTTTTCTAATACATTTTGAATTGTATTAATAGTCTGGATAAGTACACAAATTGATATGTTTAGTCTGCAAGTTTGATAAAACGCCAAATAAACTCAGCACTCAAATAGTGAGTGAGTGAGTGAGTATGGTTTTACGCCGCTTTAGCAATATTCCAGAAATATCACGGCGGGGGACACCAGAAATGGGCTTCACACATTGTACCCATGTCGGGAATCGAACCCGGGTCTTCTGCGTGACGAGCGAACGCTTTAACCACAAGGCTACCCGACCGCCCCCAGCACTCAAATAAACCCATACACGTGGGTGTCTCCTTATACTTGTCCGGACTTATGTCTTGGCATCAGGCAGGGTAAAACCAAGTACCATCTTTTAACATCTTTTGGTAAGACGCGGCCGATCGAACCACCGACCTTCCACTGCCCGGGCAGACGCTCTCTCCACGAGACCACGCGGTGCATTGGGTAAGCGGTAAAGCCAAGCAATGTGTTTATTTTTATTCACTTATCAATAATTGTTCATGATCAGAGCAAATTTTGCCTCTCGGTATTCTGCAGGTAACACATCTATTCTGAATCGGGGGGGTACCGGTGGCCCAGTCGTCCAAGGCGCCCGCAATTAGCTGGGAGAGTTGCGTCCCCTTGAGACGCCAAACACCTCTGATCGTAGGTTGGAATCCCGTGTGCCCCGATTTTGTTTCTCGGTTTGTCAGCACCATACCCTGGCTGAAACCGGCATCACTTCGGGCTTACCTCCAACGTTAAGCTGACATCCTATGATATTACTGAAATACTGTTCAAAGCAGCGTTAAACCGAACTCACTTTTTATTCAAAATAGCGGTTTCAAACAACACTCGGGGGCACGGGTGGCCCAATCGTCTAAGGCGCCGCGATTCGCTGTGCAGAGTTGCGTCCCTTGGGCACGCCAGAAACCTATGATTGTGGGTTCGAATCCCGGTTCTCCCCGATTATGTTTCTAGGTTTGTCAGCACCATAGCCGTGCTCGTGGGTTTCACCGAAGTGGTAAACGTCTGAGACCTGCATCACTTCGGGCTTTCCTCCCACATTAAGCTGACACGCCGCGATATAACTAAAATATATTGTTAAAAGCGGCGTTAAAACCAAACTCACTCACTCACTCACTCGAACAACACTCCTCACAACTTTGGTAGACACACTACAAATGACGTACCTTCCATCGCTGTTGATGATTGTGTACAGGACGCCACCGGCGTCGAGATGTTTCTCCGCCGCTGTCGTCCACGTCCCTGTCCAAAACAACCCTGGCAGCGTCTTGACTCGAGATAATATCTCTAGATAAGAAACAGGAACAAGGATTCAAAGTACTGAGGGGCGCAGTGATTCATCCAACTTTCTTCAGTGCCACTGAACGTAGGCCGAGGGCAACACATCAATGTGATGTAAACGAATCAATAGTTAGTATCGATAGTCTTGCAAGATATCAATAGCAACTATTGATTCGTTTACTTCTCTTTGAAGTATTGTCCTCGGCCCTTCATTCAATTGCACTGCTGATATCGATATGATTCAAGACTATCGATAGGCGTAACAAAATGAAAAACATCTCATAATGTCATAATTTTCAACACATATAACACAGGTCTGTGTAGGAACTGTATTAATAGTCTGGATAAGTTCGCAAATTGAGATATTTAGCCTGCAAGTTGGATAAAACGCCATATAATAAACTCAGCACTCAAATAAACCCATACACAATCAGGTGTGTGTGTAAGGGGAAGGGTGGGGGAGGGGTTGTGTGACAGTGTAAGATTCTTTTAATCTAGGACATTGAAATTAATAGGAGAAAGAAGGCCCCAGTTTAAGTTCAAGATGGTTCGGTGAGTGAGTGAGTGTGTAAGTGTGTGAGTGAGGTTTTACGCCGCATTTAGCAATATTCCAGCAACATCCCAACACCAGAAATGGGCTTATTGTACGTGAGGCCAAGAGTACTGAGTTACAAACATGCATCATAATGAGAATGCATACTGTTTAGACGTTATATACAGTACAGGTAGTTTGGTACGTTAGGTTGATGCATTCCTTCTTAGAAGACATGATTGTAACTTCATCATAAGTCGAAGTATTGCTTACAAAGGGCATGTACAACCTGCGATTATCACAATATAACATATTTTGTTTACAACAGGAACTTCGTTCTCAAATACGGGTTGCCCAGTCGTCTACAGCACCGCAATTCGCTGTACAGAGTTGTGTCCCTTGGGCATGCCAGAAACCTATTATTGTGGGTTCAAATCCCGCTTCTCCCCGATTATGTTTTTAGGTCTGTCAGTACCATACTCGTGCTCGTGGGTTTCACTAAAGTGGTAATCGTTTCTGAATAAAAACTCGCGAACATAAGTCTGGGCCGCTCGTGTTAACGATCTCCAAGATGCTGGAAAAAGGTTTCCCTCACAAGCGCGGGTGAAGCCCTTCGAACAACGATTGTCAAGTTATATATCTAGACTACGTGTTACTTTAGGTCTCACAGGTTTGAGTATGACTCGATGACTCTCTTTAAGCTTAATATTTAGTAAGTGTGCGGGGCGGTCGGGTAGCCTGGAGGTTAAAGCGTTCGCTCGTCACGCCGAAGATCCGGGTTCGATTCCCGACATGGGTACAATGTGTGAAGCCCATTTCTGGTGTACCCCGTCGTGATATTGCTGGAATATTGCTAAAAGCGGCGTAAAATCAAACTCACTCACTCACTAGTAAGTGTGCACTGATTTATATGAGTAAGGAAATGTTTAACGAAGCATGGCAAATGAAACTATGTACCCCCGGGGTTTCATTTAAACCTGGAATAAGTATGTGAAGAAGCTTCAAGAATGAGTTTACTTGGGTACATGCATGAATAATTGAAGCAGTTTTATCGACATGATCCTCGTGAGGCAGCTGATCCCAACACACCCGTGTAGATGCGGGTTGTATGTGAGGACCCATGCTTGTCATAAAGGGCGACTAGAGGGGTCGTGTGGGCAGGCTCGCTGACTTGGTTGATGCGTGGACCATGATGTCAATCATGGGATTGCCTGGTCCCGACTCGATAATGTACAGACCGCTGCCATATAGTTGTATGTTGCAAAGTGCGGCGTTACACATGATCTCACCACACGCACGTTTCTTTGTATGATAAATATCACAATGCAAGTCGTTGCACGCCCATCTCTACCCATAGCCTTGCCTGCTTGTTGTCCATGAGAGTGTCTCACAGCAAGGTGTAACAAGCAATAATGTCAACCTGCTCTGCACTATAAAACCGCTCAGCCACGTCAACCAAGTGAAGACTCACCTTACCACAATACACAATCTCGTGAACCTGTCAGGGTGTTATAAACCTGCACAACATTCAGCATCTTCAGCTACAACTTTCCCAGTCGGTCAACCTTCTGAACTCGAAACAACGAAGGAAACCCCAGGCCCATCTCTGTCTGCATCAACCTCCCCTTGAAACTTCCGTCCAGCGACTTTAACTTGCCACGCCCCTGTCTGCATGAACCTCCATCCTACTTTACAAGAACCACAACTTGCCACGCCCCTGTCTGCATCAACTTCCACCCTACTTCACCCTTACAAGGACTACAACTTGCCACGCCCCTGTCTGCATCAACCTCCACCCTACTTCACCCTTACAAGGACTACAACTTGCCACGTCCCTGTCAGCATCAACCTCCACCCTACTTCACCCTTACAAGAACTACAACTTGCCGCGCCCCTGTCTGCATCAACCTCCACCCTACTTCACTTACAAGAACTACAACTTGCCACGCCCCTGTCTGCATCAACCTCCACCCTACTTCACCCTTACAAGAACTACAACTTACCGCGCCCCTGCCTGTCTGCATCAACCTCCACCCTACTTCACCCTTACAAGAACTACAACTTGCCACGCCCCTGTCTGCATCAACCTCCACCCTACTTCACCCTTACAAAAACTACAACTTGCCACGCCCCTGTCTGCATCAACCTCCACCCTACTTCACCCTTACAATAACTACAACTTGCCATGCCCCTGTCTGCATCAACCTCCATCCTTCTTCACCCTTACAAGAACTACAACTTGCCACGACCCTGTCTGCATCAACCTCCACCCTACTTCACCCTTACAAGAACTACAACTTGCCACGCCCCTGTCTGCATCAACCTCCACCCTACTTCACCCTTACAAGAAATACAACTTGCCGCGCCCCTGCCTGTCTGCATCAACCTCCACCCTACTTCACCCTTACAAGAACTACAACTTGCCACGCCCCTGTCTGCATCAACCTCCACCCTACTTCACTTACAAGAACTACAACTTGCCACGCCCCTGTCTGCATCAACCTCCACCCTACTTCACTTACAAGAACTACAACTTGCCACGCCCCTGTCTGCATCAACCTCCACCCTACTTCACCCTTACAAGAACTATAACTTGCCACACCCCGGTCTGCATCAACCTCCACCCTACTTCACCCTTACAAGGACTACAACTCGCCACGCCCCTGTCTGCATCAACCTCCACCCTACTTCACCCTTACAAGAACTACAACTTGCCACGCCCCTGTCTGCATCAACCTCCACCCTACTTCACCCTTACAAGAACTACAACTTGCCACGCCCCTGTCTGCATCAACCTCCACCCTACTTCACCCTTACAATAACTACAACTTGCCACGCCCCTGTCTGCATCAACCTCCACCCTACTTCACCCTTACAAAAACTACAACTTGCCACGCCCCTGTCTGCATCAACCTCCACCCTACTTCACCCTTACAATAACTACAACTTGCCACGCCCCTGTCTGCATCAACCTCCATCCTTCTTCACCCTTACAAGAACTACAACTTGCCACGCCCCTGTCTGCATCAACCTCCATCCTACTTCACCCTTACAAGAAATACAACTTGCCGCGCCCCTTCCTGTCTGCATCAACCTCCACCCTACTTCACCCTTACAAGAACTACAACTTGCCGCGCCCCTGTCTGCATCAACCTCCACCCTACTTCACTTACAAGAACTACAACTTGCCACGCCCCTGTCTGCATCAACCTCCACCCTACTTCACCCTTACAAGGACTACAACTTGCCACGCCCCTGTCTGCATCAATCTCCACCCTTCTTCACCCTTACAAGAACTATAACTTGCCACGCCCCTGTCTGCATCAACCTCCACCCTACTTCACCCTTACAAGAACTACAACTTGCCACGACCCTGTCTGCATCAACCTCCACCCTACTTCACCCTTACAAGAACTACAACTTGCCACGCCCCTGTCTGCATCAACCTCCACCCTACTTCACTTACAAGAACTACAACTTGCCACGCCCCTGTCTGCATCAACCTCCACCCTACTTCACCCTTACAAGGACTACAACTTGCCACGCCCCTGTCTGCATCAATCTCCACCCTTCTTCACCCTTACAAGAACTATAACTTGCCACGCCCCTGTCTGCATCAACCTCCACCCTACTTCACCCTTACAAGAACTACAACTTGCCACGCCCCTGTCTGCATCAACCTCCACCCTACTTCACTTACAAGAACTACAACTTGCCACGCCCCTGTCTGCATCAACTTCCACCCTACTTCACCCTTACAAGAACTATAACTTGCCACACCCCGGTCTGCATCAACCTCCACCCTACTTCACCCTTACAAGGACTACAACTTGCCACGCCCCTGTCTGCATCAACCTCCATCCTACTTTACAAGAACCACAACTTGCCACGCCCCTGTCTGCATCAACCTCCACCCTACTTCACTTACAAGAACTACAACTTGCCGCGCCCCTGTCTGTCTGCATCAATCTCCACCCTACTTCACCCTTACAAGAACTATAACTTGCCACGACCCTGTCTGCATCAACCTCCACCCTACTTCACCCTTACAAGAACTACAACTTGCCACGCCCCTGTCTGCATCAACCTCCACCCTACTTCACTTACAAGAACTACAACTTGCCACGCCCCTGTCTGCATCAACCTCCACCCTACTTCACCCTTACAAGGACTACAACTTGCCACGCCCCTGTCTGCATCAATCTCCACCCTTCTTCACCCTTACAAAAACTACAACTTGCCACGCCCCTGTCTGCATCAACCTCCACCCTACTTCACCCTTACAAGAACTACAACTTGCCACGCCCCTGTCTGCATCAACCTCCACCCTACTTCACTTACAAGAACTACAACTTGCCACGCCCCTGTCTGCATCAACCTCCACCCTACTTCACCCTTACAAGGACTACAACTTGCCCCGCCCCTGTCTGCATCAATCTCCACCCTTCTTCACCCTTACAAGAACTATAACTTGCCACGCCCCTGTCTGCATCAACCTCCACCCTACTTCACCCTTACAAGAACTACAACTTGCCACGCCCCTGTCTGCATCAACCTCCACCCTACTTCACTTACAAGAACTACAACTTGCCACGCCCCTGTCTGCATCAACTTCCACCCTACTTCACCCTTACAAGAACTATAACTTGCCACACCCCGGTCTGCATCAACCTCCACCCTACTTCACCCTTACAAGAACTACAACTTGCCACGCCCCTGTCTGCATCAACCTCCATCCTACTTTACAAGAACCACAACTTGCCACGCCCCTGTCTGCATCAACCTCCACCCTACTTCACTTACAAGAACTACAACTTGCCGCGCCCCTGTCTGTCTGCATCAATCTCCACCCTTCTTCACCCTTACAAGAACTATAACTTGCCACGCCCCTGTCTGCATCAACCTCCACCCTACTTCACCCTTACAAGAACTACAACTTGCCACGCCCCTGTCTGCATCAACCTCCACCCTACTTCACCCTTACAAGAACTACAACTTGCCACGCCCCTGTCTGCATCATCCTCTACCCTACTTCACCCTTACAAGAACTACAACTTGCCACGCCCCTGCCTGTCTGCATCAACCTCCACCCTACTTCACCCTTACAAGAACTACAACTTGCCACGCCCCTGTCTGCATCAACCTCCACCCTACTTCACCCTTACAAGAACTACAACTTGCCACGCCCCTGTCTGCATCAACCTCCACCCTACTTCACCCTTACAAGAACTACAACTTGCCACGCCCCTGTCTGCATCATCCTCTACCCTACTTCACCCTTACAAGAACTACAACTTGCCACGCCCCTGCCTGTCTGCATCAACCTCCACCCTACTTCACCCTTACAAGAACTACAACTCGCCACGCCCCTGTCTGCATCAACCTCCACCCTACTTCACCCTTACAAGAACTACAACTTGCCACGCCCCTGCCTGTCTGCATCAACCTCCACCCTACTTCACCCTTACAAGAACTACAACTTGCCACGCCCCTGTCTGCATCAACCTCCACCCTACTTCACCCTTACAAGAACTACAACTTGCCACGCCCCTGTCTGCATCAACCTCCATCCTACTTCACCCTTACAAGAACTACAACTTGCCACGCCCCTGTCTGCATCAATCAACCTCCACCTTTCATCCATATTGCTACACCCCAGGGAGAGCTACAACCCCGACTCACACACACGCGTCTCACGCATTGCATCCCATCATTCATCACCCTGCACCACCCACCATAATAAGGGCTTGGTCCAACTCAACTCCAATGACATGAAAACACAGAAACATATAATATGTCACGCTGGCTTGCTATCCCAAGTAGTGTTCAAGACAATCGATGTGAAGTTATTGAGTGAAAGTAGAGTCAATGGATATATAACTGTACACTACCGTTCTCGTGATCTGCAAGTCTCTCCCGGTCCAACTGAAACCACAACATGAACGTCTGTGCCTCCATCGCTGACGAGGAAAGCACCTGACTACTGTTGACTGCCTCCCCAACTTGTTCAAGCTAGTGTCTGCTATTTATAATGCAGTAGTACTTGCAGTATTGTTTTTTTACGCATCGTCGGTAAGTACAGTGCAGTTCACAATTAAGTACCATTTTTACCTGTGAATACATGTGTTGTCATATGCATGCTTCACCGATAAGTACAGGCTCGTTCAAAGGCAAGTAGTACTATATTTGCAAAAGATACATTGTAAGCAATTTTATTTATCCTAGGAAAGCTGTTGTATTTATCTGCATAAAGAATTGAGTTCGTTATTCTGAAATGTATCACACACAGTTCGAGATGCACGGATATGTTCCGAATACATAAAAAGAATCTATAAGAATATTTATATAATATACCACAGCTGGTAAACAATTCATCGATTATCCAGCGAATCATATGTCCAATCCATTATGTACCTGGGCCTCGAACCTAAAAGTGACCTTAGCGCTAAGGCGGAGCTCCCCATACTTCAACATAGGCTTACGATAGTCGTTGCGTTTATTTGTTAGTTTGTTTGTTGTTTAATGGCACACTCAGCAATAGACCAGCTATATGACGGCGGTCTGTAAATAATCGAGTCTGGACCAGACAATCCAGTGATTCATATCATGAGCATCGATCCACTCAATTGGGACACGATGACATGCATCAACCAAGTCAGCAAACCTGACCACCCGATCCCGTTAGTCGCCTCTTTCGACAAGCACGGTCGCCTTTAAGGGCAAGCATGGGTTACTGAAGACCTATTCTCACCCCGATCCTCACGGGTGATTGTCGTAGCGCTTGGAACGGGGCCCTGGACCCATTCGACACCAAAGCTCCGTTTTGAGTCCAGTTCGAATGACACGACGCTAGGAATAGCCACCAAATCAAATTATACGATAGTGGTTACAGGCACGCGTGTTATTATGAACAATTTGGAACGCCTGGTAGCATACGGATTGCCGCCCATCTGTCTCAAAACGTCAGGAAAACATCTTTTCCAGTTAGAAGTTAATTCTGATTCGTAGCAAACTCCTTTATTTGAATCGAATAAATAGACACCACAACTATATTTGAATGTGTACCATGGGCGGATACATTATACCTCCGGCAGCAAATGGAAAAGGGATATTGCATTTCACCGTAAACACCAGATGCTGCCACATAAAGTTTATATAACATGACGCTAGTTTTTGAAGACAAGTTATTGGATGCTTAACAGAAATGACATGCATTTTTAAAGCAAAACCAAACATAAACAATAGAAACAATAAACAACAGTTTAATACGGTTCGCGTCAGAGACAGCCGAATGGTGTTAAGGTCACAGCTGAGAGTTGGTATTGACAGGTGTTCTTCAGGACGGCCGTTATGACCACCGAATCACCCGCATCATCGTATCTTACCATACGCGCGGGAGGCGGGAATCAACTCGCGCCTGGAATGTTCCCGGGTTTGCAAAAAGCTATGTGTCTCATTGTATGCAAAGAAATAAAACACTACACATTCAATTCTTTCGTGTATGCCCGCTCGGAAACACATACATGGGAATTTCTTTCTTACACGAAAGATCAGTTGCATTTTATGACGTCACAGTTGACTGACAACGATAGTTTTTGTAATTATCGTCAATGTAAGAGAGGTTAACTTGACGGAGACGATCCATACTTGGTTTAAGGGTGGTTTGGTTGGGTTATGGAGTAAGCAGTCACGCCCAAAGACTGAGGTTCGATTCCCAACATGGTTGTGGAACTCATCCCTGGTGCATTTCCAACGTGCTGATGGTGCTTATACCACCGTAAACCACACCACCATCCACCCACCCACCCCACCTCACACAGCCACCCCACCCCACCCCACGAACACACTGTACACACACGCACGCTCTGTTTCTCTGTCGCTCTGTCTATGTCTGTCTGTATGTCTGTCTGTCTCTCTCTCTCTCTCTCTCTCTCTCACACACACACACACATACACATTAACAGACACACATATACAGAGACACATAAACAGACACACGCACAGACACGCATACAAACTGGCAGGACTCAGCCACGTGGACCCCTCCTTTCCCCAAAGGGCTTGTTCCTCATTATTACATGAAGTGCAGTATAGTGCCGTGTTGAGCTATTGATCGCTGAAGGCGGACCAGCTCGCCCGGCTGTGAAACGTAACGACGGATGTACACGAACCTTGATCTGACGTATAAATGACCTCTCACCCCTCCGCCCTGTTATGATCTTATCATTTCTGACGTCATTGTTCTTATTCTATACATTCCCCCCGTTCGGGAATGGTCTTGCTTTCCGATTTGAAACATACCAGATCGAATTCGAAAGCTTTAATAAGGATAATCTATTGATAGATTGGCCTATTTGGTGCACGTTACTGTCTTTGTTGCAGTGTTTGAGAACTGAAATATCCTGAATGTTTAAATGTTATCTTATAAACAGGAGATATAGAAACAGAATTTAAACTAATGATTTCAGACGAACATGTAGAATTCCGAATTAAGCACGACGACTATCGTAAGTCTGTGTTAAAGACTGGGAATTTCGATTATCTGAGTGGTAAGATTTGTGGAAAGGGACCCTGAATTCTAAATAATTAAAGACTTGAGTTTCCGGAACATTCTGCGGCTTCCTGGGTTTTCCAGTTGACTATATGAGCTGGCTGGTGATGTGTGACATGGTGCCCTTCTGATGCCTGCTTCCGATAATGGATCGCCTCCAAGGTCTATTGACTAGAGCGTCTGCCCGGAGAGCGGAAGGTCGGTGGTTCGATTCCCGGTCGCGTCATATCAAAAGACGTTAAAACATGGTAATTGTTGTTCCCCTGCCTAGAGATCTGCAGGTAGGGGGTAAAACAAAACCTGGTCGGCTCGATGTTGTACACTGTGTCTAAGTGGGGTCATCTTCCCAAAGCAAGGGACCTAATTGACTATTAAAGTCCAGTTTCCACCCTTGCCGAATTAGGCTGGAATTATGGAGTTATATTTTGGCTGGACTAACGAGTTTCTGCATAGTCCAATCACAATCACGAAACGATATCGACATCCGAGGATTTGCAAAGCATGTGTACCGTCATCTTAGCGTCAACCGATATTTTCCCAATCATATCATGTTTTTAATCAAGGTGCTCACATGATTTGATGCACTTCGCGAAGTAAGACCCTTTTTAAAACAATTTAGATCTTGATTATCGAACAATCGTCTTAAAGTTTGTTTGAAGCAAAGCAAGTGATAGGAGAGGTGGAATCTGATTGGTCAATAGGAGGGACATGTACACAAGGGACATAACTCGTAATAGCCATTGGTGGCGCTACGATCGAGTCCAGAAACTCCAGCCAAGCTCGGTAAGGGTGGAAACTGGACTTTTCCAGTCAGTTAACTCCCTTGTCTCGGGAAGAGAGACTGCGGCATTATACCTCATAGGCTAGTACTATAAAACCGGTATTAGTACCGGACTAGTACAAACAGATCGGGCGCGCGCATACACACGTTGCGATGTGTTAGTGCAATAACGCGACGTTATACCCCCATTTCACCTCACCCTACCTTTTGTCTTCAAATTAAGGCGGATCAATATCACCAATTTAAGGGGCAGCCCCCGATTCGCGTCACTATATGATGTACACTTCTACCTGAGTTAGTGTTGGTTTCGCTAATACGTGTAGTAGATATTTCTGGTCGGTTAATCATCGCACAGAAACGCGAGACAATTGGTTATGCAAAATAATGTAACGAACAGCTGTTTGGAATGATCCACTCCTTGAATCCAGATTAAATTATTATATATATTACTTTATTTTCTGATCTGTGTACATGTACAGATGAAGAATGTTAATTAACTTTTATTCATCACACCTGGAATACAAGACTATTCTGTCTGTTTAAATGTATATAAAGTACTTGCTATATGACATTTTGTGTAATGGATGGAATGGTAATGTAATGGAAATGCCATATTCCTACCAGTGGAACTGATTTATCACGGCATATGGCATTGAACTATACTTAAAGGTAGTCATCAACCGGCCTTTTTAAAAGCGGCTTGAGTGGACGTTTTATATACAAAGGACAGTACACAGGACAGAATACAATGTTTACTCAAGTAATTGTTTATTTTATTAGTTTATTCTGGATATTATGCTGCTGTCGTGTGAAGAAAGAAAATACTATTCTGACGCATTTGGGTCACATGTTAGTAAGTGTCATCTAGACTTGTAAAAGGCGTCTATGCTTGTTGGAAGAGGCGACTAACGGGATCGGGTGGTCAGGCTCACTGACTTGGTTGATGCATGTCATCGTATCCCAACTGCGTGGATCGATGCTCATCACATCAATCACTGGATTGTGTGGTCCAGACTCGATTATTTACAAACCGCCGTCATATAGCTGGAATATTGCTTAGGCCAAGCATGGGTTGCTGAATACCTATTCTACCCCGGATCTTCGCGTATGTATGTCTATTTCTATCATAAACTGTCTTTATGTCCGTGTGTTCGTTTGAAGAGAGAACCAAAAGACCATGTACCAAATGTATTTAAATGTTGACACACTAATGACATCAACAGGAATGACCAGAGCAACATGGGTAATCAACCCGGATATATGCGGCAAGATTTGAAAGTTAACCAATAGATACCACAATTGGATGTAATTACATTTTATTTAAAAGAAAACTATTATTGGACACGGCAGTGAACATTTTTCGCCAATTGCGTCATCTGTTCACCTTTCCATCAGGATAAAATGTTTACATGGGAGTTAGTTTGGTTTAACGTCGCCTTGAAAAATATTTCAGTAATATCACGGCGTGTCAGCTTTCTGTGGAAGGAAAGCCCGAAGGTATGCAGGTTTCAGACGTTTACCACTTTGGTGAAACCAACGAGCACGGGTATATACATGTATAGTGCTGACAAACCGAGAAACATAATCGGGGCGAATTGGGATTTGAACCCACAATCATGGGTTTCTGGCGTGCCTAAGGGACGCAACTCTGCACAGCATTGCAGCCTTGTTTCCTGTGTATGCTGCGCTGGCGCGACACTAAAGCACGAGCGCAGCAA